AATAGATGTACCTTTTGTGTAATAACATCGCAATAGTTGTACCTATAGTGCAATAATATCGCAATAGATGTACCTTTAGTGTAATAACATCGCAATAGTTCTACCTATAGTGCAATAATATCGCAATAGTTGTACCTTTAGTGTAATAACATCGCAATAGTTCTACCTATAGTGCAATAATATCGCAATAGTTGTACCTATAGTATAATAATATCGCAATAGATGTACCTATAGTGTAATAATACCGCAATAGTTCTACCTATAGTGTAATAATATCGCAATAGATGTACCTATAGTGTAATAACATCGCAATAGTTGTACCTATAGTGTAATAACATCGAAATAGTTGTACCTATAGAGCAATAATATCGCAATAGTTGTACCTATAGTATAATAATATCGCAATAGTTGTACCTATAGTGTAATAATACCGCAATAGTTCTACCTATAGTGTAATAACATCGAAATAGTTTTACATATAGTGCAATGATCTCGCAATAATTGTACTTCCAGTACATTAGAATCGCAATTCTGTTTTTACTGCGACAGTATTGTTGCAAAATAAATTTACACTCAATAGTCCCCCTATTCTAACCACAAGCTATTTCAAAAACTTCCATTTAAGCCTATTTTATTTTAAATATAATTATGCGTTACGCACGAAATATATGTAATTCAATCCTGGTGTCACAGCGGGTTGTACCTCTTTTCATGCGATCCGGGGCAAACAGCCCTATGGACATGGTAGATATTGATGTAATACATTCAAAACTGTGTTGCTAAAAAAAATGACTAATACATATCGCACCAATATGTAAATAGATCTTGTTTTAAACATGAAACCACATGGCGTGTAAATATTTTGATAAATGGATATTATTTAATATTCTGTGAAATTAAGTGTACTGTTTTTATGTTATATGTATTTTACGCGATGCACATGTGATAAGGGCCGTGAAATACCATTTACTGTTATACGTTGTTTTTGATGTTCCAGTCACTTAGTTGTATACACACGCGAAATGGGCTGTTTCGTGATACAAGTACTCCGATAAGAGGGGTTTTTTTTATTCTGTGATGGACATGTAAGATATTAAAGAAATGATATAATTTATAATATATTTAAATAATCAATAATTCATAAAAGGATTCATTTTCCCCTTCGAATATGATGATTTACTGAAGCGTAACGGTAATTAAGATCATATTTCATATTGTGATTTTTAAAAGCGTTTAAGCCAGATCTCCTCTTTTGGATGATTACAACGTACGGTCCCATATGTTTTCTTAATTTATATTATTAATTTAAAATTAGTTTTACTGAACTTATGCATTTTTGCATTTTTGTTTTTCATGCATGTTATTTTGAAATACCGTTGTTGCATTTCCATTAAAAAAGTGCAGCAGTTTTAAAGAAGGGAGAAGTTTTATGTGTGACGTTTTCTCCCTATACGCAACGGCACCAAGCTACCTTGGTCTTAACGTTCCCTCGGTAACAGCGAAACCTTCCTTATAACAAATTTGTGGTTTAACGAATCCTGTTTACGGAGTAATATTACTGTGTCTTTGTAAGCAGTAAGCGCAGTGAGGGAGCTTCAATCTGCCCCTTCATCGTTGATGACACTAACGTGATGTACTAAGTATAAAATAACATTCGAAATATATAGTATTAAACTAATTAAACCTGATGGAAATTGTGTCAGGATTTATCCAACAATGTCATAACCAGTGTCTTACAGTTACTTCCCGGGGCTCCCTCCCCACGGGGGTCGGATTTATGAGGATGAGGGGGTGTATATTTGGCTGATAGGATTAGCAGGGTCATGTCTCGAGGGAATGTTCAGCGAGTCGCGTCAATGTCCCTGAACGTAAATTATCGAGATTATCAGACCGTGGACTTTGATGCTTCGCTGTACATATGCAATGTAGAAAGTTGTACTATTCCGACTATATCATAAGCATATGTTTATTGGGTATCGTCATTATTTGATCGTGATTCATAAACACATGCTCATATTATATTTGGAATCGTACTATCAACTCTTACTTATGAGATGTCGCTATATGGCTGAAATAAAGCCGATGCGACGTTAAATTTTAACTCACTCACTCTTATGAGATTTCTTATGAATTCGGAAAGGGTTTTGTCGCTTTTACGCTCGTATTTATATTATGATTATGAAAAGGGTTTTGTCGCTTTTATTAATATTATGATTACGAAAAGGTTTTTGTCGCTTTTATTTGTATTATGATTATGAAAAGGGTTTTGACGCTTTTATTTATATTTTGATTATGAAAAGTGTTTCGTCGCTTTTATCTATATCATGATCAAATAGTGATGATGTCTGCCCACCGGTGCCTCCCGTCACAAACACACGCAAAGGCAAGTCAAGAGTTCAGGGAGGTCTCTTTTTGTCTCAAATGTGTTCTCGTGTATGCCTTTCTAAAACATTGAAATATGTAGCAGGTAAAAATGTATTCTATATCATCTATATTACAGAAATACTGAAAGGCCATAGGCCTATAGTACATATCTTTGTGGGCAGTGGTGAACATATTGAGTCTCTCATCTTATCATTTCTAAAATTCAATGAATGGAAAAAAAAGCAGTCAAAGGCTTGAGTACTTTAATATTTATAGAAAACATTAATTCATTAAACTTAAATATATTTGGAAATTGGTACATTGATGGATGTATGTAATTCGTAAATTCTGATAAAATGGACAAATGTGAACAAAATGGTACCCATCCTCTATTAGCTGTAAATTACACATTCTACATAATCTAAATTCCTTTGGGAAAAGTGTACTGGAGTAGTATAAAAGCGTAATTTCCTAGTTGATCCCTTTCATATTTCAGTAAACTACGGTTATAACGAACTCAAAAGGACTACTAATTTTAGTTCGTTATAACCGTAATTCGTTATAAGCATATATACAGCATAACTACAGCATATAGTCGGGACTAAAAAGTTAGTTCGTTATATCCGTTAGTTCGTTATAAGCGTGTTCGTTATAACCGCAGTTTACTGTATCACATTCTTACCACATGCTATGTATACAGGGATGGAGACATGTTGAGGCAGGGATGTATGCAATGGTAAGGGAGGGCGTTAATTGTTGATACGCATATACAGTAAACTACGGTTATAACGAACTCAAAGGGACTACTATTTTTAGTTCGTTATAACCGTAGTTCGTTATAAGCATATATACAGTATAACTACTGCAAATAGTCGGGACTAAAAAGTAAGTTCGTTAGTTCGCTATAAGCGTGTTCGTTATAACCGTAGTTTACTGTAGTGTGGAAGTCGTGGGCGTACGGTGTTATGTTTAGTTGAAGCAGAACATCGCACTCACAGGTGTGGTCATTAATACAAATAAAAGTAACAGACAGATGACGTTAACACTGTCAACAGGCCATCTGTTGAACATGTGTGACATACATCCCGATAACATATATTTACCGATCAATGTTATCCGAAAACACAATCAGTTTTAACAGCAGTTAATGGTAGTATTTACAACATACTGTACACCCCAATGACTCAAGGTCCCATGGTATGTATTTATATTCGTTATAAGTGTCAGATGCTTCAGCATTTAGAATAGGTCTTCAAGCAAACAATGCTTGCCGTAAAAGGCGACTATGCTTGTTGACTAACGGGATCGGGTGGTTAGGCTCGCTGACTTGGTTGCTACATATCATCGTATCCCAACTGCGTGGATCGATGATCATGATTTTTAAATCACTGCATTGACTGGTTCAGACTCGATTATTTACAGACCGCCGTCATTTAGCTGGGATATTGCTGAGTTAAACAAATAAATAAATAAATAAAGAAGGTTTTGCTTGTACTGGCTGTCGTCAATAAACAACATTGGGTAAACATTTATTCATGGATGGAATTACTAATAGCTATTACCGTTTTCTTTTTGATATGTCTATTTTGTATTATATATTTATGTCTTCACATTGGTACCATATACATATAGATGGTCATGTATTTTGTAAAATGATGCAAGATTTAGAAGACAGTTTATGTTCCTTTGCTGTTTTAGGCAGGAATGTATTTTTCTTCACATTTTATTTTCTACTCATACGTTTATCCCATACTTCAATTTACTACGGAAACCTTTTTGTTTTTTTCTTGAAATTTCAAGATACTAAGTTGAAATTTTAAAATACTGACTTGAAATTTCAAGATACTAACTTGAAATTTCAAGTTATCATCTTTAAATTTCAAGACGATTATCTTGAAATTTCAGCATAACATCTTGAAATTTCAAGTTAGTATCTTGAAATTTCTACTTAGTATCTTGAAATTTCAACTGCTGAATCTAAATCTGATGCTCGCGATATAGTCGGAATCTTACAATCGACTCTTTTGCAGAGATGGTTATGGAACTGGTTTGGTAGTTTTTATTGCTTTCAACACTTTGGCAATACGTACGCGATCTAATGAGTTTGGGGCCGCTTTTAGCAATATCACGGCGGGAGACACCAGAAATGGACATAACCAATTAATGACATTTCCACAATTAATGACATTTCCACAATTAATGACATTACCAATTAATGACATTTCCACAATTAATGACATTTCCACAATTAATGACATTTCCACAATTAATGACATTACCAATTAATGACATTTTCACAATTAATGACATTTCCACAATTAATGACATTTCCACAATTAATGACATTACCAATTAATGACATTTCCACAATTAATGACATTTCCACAATTAATGACATTTCCACAATTAATGACATTACCAATTAATGACATTTCCACAATTAATGACATTTCCACAATTAATGACATTACCAATTAATGACATTTCCACAATTAATGACATTTCCACAATTAATGACATTTCCACAATTAATGACATATCGATACACAGTGAGACCAATGCTTCATCCATGCGTCAGTGCTCCCTGATCACAAAAAGACCGATTGGCTAATTTTCAATATACTTTATATTTGTAGATGAAGTTGTTCAAGGTCACAGGGCTTCTTCTAGCGCTGTGCTGCCTGCAGTCTATTTGTGGCGCCCCGGTTGAAGATGGAGACGGCCAGGATAGCCCCGAAGTAGGTCACGTGAACCATATACCTTGATTTTAGTTGGGTACTGAATTGCGGTAAATGTGAAGTATTTCAGTCACTAGTATATCACGGCGCGTCAGCTTGACGTTCTGCACGTTGTTCAGGTCATCGTGAGTGAGTGAGTATGGTTTTACGCCGCTTTTAGCAATATTCCAGCAATATCACGGCGGGGGACACCAGAAATGGGCTTCACACATTGTACCCATGTCGGGAATCGAAATCGGGTCTTCGGCGTGACGAGCGAACGCTTTAACCACTAGGCTACCCCACCGTCCCATTTTCGGGCATCGTGTTGACAGATCAAGGAAGAATGTGAATGTGGGATTCGAACCCACGACTGGCGATGCCATTCAACACTAAGACATGTCATTAAATGAGTGAGTGAGTATGGTTTTACGCCGCTTTCAGCAATATTCCTGCAATATCACGGCGGGGGACACCAGAAATGGGTTTCACACATTGTACCCATGTCACGCCAAACCCGGGTCTTCGCCGACGAGCGAACGCTTTAACCACTAGGCTACCCCACCGTCCCATTTTCGGGCATCGTGTTGACAGATCAAGGAAGAATGTGAATGTGGGATTCGAACCCACGACTGGCGATGCCATTCAACACTAAGACATGTCATTAAATGAGTGAGTGAGTATGGTTTTACGCCGCTTTCAGCAATATTCCTGCAATATCACGGCGGGGGACACCAGAAATGGGTTTCACACATTGTACCCATGTCACGCCAAACCCGGGTCTTCGCCGACGAGCGAACGCTTTAACCACTAGGCTACCCCACCGTCCCATTTTCGGGCATCGTGTTGACAGATCAAGGAAGAATGTGAATGTGGGATTCGAACCCACGACTGGCGATGCCATTCAACACTAAGACATGTCATTAAATGAGTGAGTGAGTATGGTTTTACGCCGCTTTCAGCAATATTCCTGCAATATCACGGCGGGGGACACCAGAAATGGGCTTCACACATTGTACCCATGCCACGCCACCCCGGGTCTTCGCCGGGTCTTCAGCGTGACGAGCGAACGCTTTAACCACTAGGCTACCCGACCGATATCATTAAAGGAGTATTTTGTTCAAACATTATTTTGTGGTTAACTTTTGTTTTAAGATTTCATTTCTACTTCTTTTCTACCGACTTTGGTGTTTTGGGGGAGAAGAGATTCGTTTACCTAATAATACAACCGGTATTACTTTTTTTCATTTTATGGGTACATTTAACGATTTGGTAGTACATGATATTTTCCCTCCTAGGTGGATATCGATACAGAGCAGCAGATAGATTCCGAGATAGAGATTGTCAACGGCGAGGTGAGTGCACACACAATATATTGATTTTCTATAGTTCCAGTGTTCTGTTCATTTTCATCACGAATTTTGTCTTTTACCCCTAATCGAATCTTTTTCGGCAGATGATCGAGACTGGGTATTCTCTGGCGTTATCGTTTTATATTATCGGAATATTCTTTAAGAGATATCGGCCAAATAATGTGCCTCAACATTTGGAAACACGCGATGGCAACGACACCGTGTTTTGCCGCGTCAGCAATTTTTACTCGTACAAAATAACAAGTGCCATTATGCATGTTTTCCGGTGCCTGCTGTCGGCTCAGCGCTATGTTTCACGAGTTCAATAAAAAATTGTCAATGTTTTAAATATATATTGAACATAAAAAAGTAGGGTTCATGAATAATTTTACAGTCAAGGCTGAGCACACAATTTTATAAAAATATCACCCCCAAAAAATCGCGATCTGTAACTATTTTTATTCAGTCAATACTCGCTCATTAAACAGATCAATTATTTTTTCATAATGAATAAAACAATAAAACAAAGTGTTTTCAGGGTTCATTTGAGATTAAGTTCCTCAAAAGAATGTTTTTTACATTTTTTTTACAAATACACACACATAATATTTCAGAAAAGTACAGAACACTGATTTTTTTACAGGTTTGGCACGTTTAAAGCATGAAAATAAATCGTCGTGTCCTAATTATTGAATCTGATCAATTTTCAGACAGGACAACGACGCAAAAGGGCCTTTTTCTACACCAGACCTTGGCCTGACAATATAATTCCATATGTGTTCTCTCCTAATATCCGTAAGTCCATTACGCTGCCCATCAAGTGGTAAGTGAGTCAGTTCAATCCTCCTCGAACAGTACTTGGAGTGCATTTGTGGCTGTTGTCGCATTTCGCTTTCAAGAGTTACTTCCCTTTAGAGTGCCATTAGCCTATGATCTTTGATTCGATGGTTTCATCAAGGTGAGGTGAGGTGAGGTGAGGTGAGGTGAGGTGAGGTGAAATGGGGTTTAACGTCGCGTCCAAGATTATTGCACTTATATAGCGACGTGCATGCACGTGTATGTGTGGGTGTGTGGCTGCGTGTACTAGTCCGGACTGATGCCGATTTATAGTGCTAGCACACTGAGATACCATGCCGCAGTTTAACATGAATATCCCACTCAGACACAGTATACTGACTCCGAGCCGACCAGTCCTTGTTTTAGCCCCTTAATGCCGAGCGCCAGACATGGTCACAACAAGTACCATCTTTTAACGTCTTTTGGCATGACGCGGCTGGGGATCGAACCCCGGACCTTCCGCTCTCAGGGTGGACGCTATACCATTAGACCACGAAGGCGGTCGTTTCATCAAGGAGTAAACGTCGGAGACCTTCATCACTTCGGGATTTCCTCCCAAAATCAAGCCGTCACGCCGTGACGTAACTGAAATACGAGTCAAAGCTGCTTTAAACCATCTCACTCACTAACTCACAAGGCCAGTATTCTGGGTATGTCATGGTGTGTAAGCTCAACAGGAAAGAACGTCAGCGTGACTCAGATCGTAGAAAACAAAGAAAAAAAATGAAGGGAATGTGGATTCGAACCCAGGATCTGAGGATGCTGTAACGGCCAAGGGAGGCAACAATTGTGGCGCCTTGGTGATGGATCCTAGGCCACTGGGCCACCCGGCCTCTGCGTCCATGTTCCAAGAACATTACACACTGTTTGCAGAGTTATGGCACGTGTCCAAGCGTTATTTTCAAAAGATATGTTTTGTTAAAAATACTGTATATGAAATCGCCCTGAAGGATAGGGTTCTTTGTTGTCTGAATGTAAAACGACTTTTTTACAGCTTCATACCTCGTTAAAAAGTACCGCGGGTTCATGCAGACGCTCGAGAGAAACACCTGCATCCGGTTCATAGAAAAGGCCGATAACTCCTCCGCTGTACCCGAAGCCCCCAATACACGAGGATGGGTTTACATCTATCACAGTGGCGTGTGAGTTGACACCTGACCCATTTTTGTCTTGTTTTGGCTTGTTGTTACGACTACACGATATTCCAGACATTTGACGCTAGCCTTTAAATATTGTTTGTTTGTTTGTTTGACTGATTGTTTGTTTGTTTGTTATTTAACGCCGGATTCAGCAATATTCCAGCTATATGTCGACGGTCTGTAAATAATTGAGTCAGGCAATCCAGTGAATGATATCATGAATATTGATCTACGCAATTGGGATGCGATGACATGCATCAACCAAGTCAGCGAGCCGACCATCCGATCCCGTCAGTCGCCTTTTACAGAGGTTATAAATATTGTGCCGTTATGATTTTTCCAAAACCGTGCTTCAGATGCTTCAGTATTTAGAATAGGTCTTCAGCAACCCATACTTGCCGTAAAAGGCGACTGTGCTTGTCGTAAAAGGCGACTAACGGAATCGGGTGGTCAGGCTCGCTGACTTGGTTGATGCATGTCATCGTATCCCAATTGAGTAGATCGATGTTCATGATGTCAGTCACTGAATTGTCTGGTCCAGACTCGATTATTTACAGACCGCCGTCATATAGCTGGAATATTGCTAAATTCGGCGTTAAGTATACCAGCGCAATACCAGCGCAGGTTGCCGAAGTACGGAAGCGTAGTGGGGCCACGGTGATTTTTTTTGGTTTAAGTATCTCCAACGTAGGACTTAGTGATTAGTCTTAGTATCTTCTACGTAGCACTTAGTATCTCCTACGTAGGAGATACTAAGTCTTTCGTAGAAGATACTAAGTACTACGTACGAGATAATAAGTCCTACGTACAAAATACTAAGACAAAAAAATTTGCCGTGGCCCTACTACGCTTCCGTAGCTGAAGACCGGATCTTCACGGGTCTCAGAGTGAGTACAGGAGAAACGGATCGAAATATGAACCCCCATGATTTCCTTTTTCAGATGCAGCTCATACATAGGGTACAGCGCCAATGGCAGAACGCTGGCGCCATGCGTGGGAGCTGTAAGTTTATAGACGTTATATATGTTGTGTTGTATGCTACTCAAAGAAAGACACACTTTCCAACTGTGGGTGTTCTTTAACTTGTGTTGAGTTACTTCAGCATGTTTCGGTGAGTGAGTAAACGGGTCGGCCTTCTCTCTGTTTAGCGTTTAGGCCAAATAACCGCGGAAGGAGGAACACTTATAATTACGCAGGTTGTAAAAAAACTTGGGATAAAAAAGAAAAATCACACACAAATGCACACTTCGACACAGGGAAAGTGATTTAAAGCAAGGAATTATCACTAGGACCATCTGTAGTTCGGGGGGCACGGGTGGCCCAGTTGTCTAAGGCGCCGCGATTCGCTGTGCAGAGTTGCGTCCCTTTGGCACGCCAGAAACCTATGATTGTGGGTTTGAATCCCGGTTAGCCCCAATTATGTTTCTAGGTTTGTCAGCACCATATCCGTGCTATCGGGTTTCACCGAAGTGGTAAACGTCTGAGACCTGCATCACTTCGGGCTTTCCTCCAAAATTAAGCTGACAGGCCGCGATATAACTGGAATACTGTTAAAAGCGGCGTTAAACCCAACTCACTAACTCACTCTGGAGTTCGAATGTGCCCCATATAGATCATGACAGGGCGCATTGGTACCACTGGATATTAGTTTTTGATGTGTCCCAAAACAGCGTGTTCGTCAGTGTTATCTAGATATCAATTATTTCGTTTAGTGTGGACAGGGTAGTCTATAGGTTAAGGGTGTCGGTTCGTCATGCCAAAGACGTTCAAAGGGTTCGATTCCCAACCAAGGAATACTCTTTTCTTTTCAAGAAAAAAACATTTCACTCAATATGTAAATGAGTGAGTGAGTGAGTGAGTAAGTATGGTTTTACGCCGCTTTTAACAATATTCCAGCAATATCACGGCGGGGGACACCAAAAATGGGCTTCTCATATTGTACCCATGTCGGGAATCGAACCCGGGTCTTCGGCGTGTCGAGCGAACGCCTTAACCACTAGGCTACCCGACCGCCCCCAATATGTAAATGAAGCTTATGTTAGATTATTTACTAAAATATGTACTTGTTTTTATATTTTTTTTCAGATTACATACGCCCATGAATTCGGTCACATGCTTGGTTTGGTACATGAACTGAAAATCAATGCACGACAAGAGTATGTGAATGCTCTCTTGGACAACGCCGGCAACTGTAAGTTCAGTTTTTGTTTGTTAGTTTGGTTGTATGTTTGGTGTTTAATGCCGCACTCCGCAATATTACAACGATATGGCGGGGCGGTCGGGTAGCCTAGTGGTTAAAGCGTTCGCTCGTCACGCCGAAGAACCGGGTTCGATTCCCGACATGGGTACAATGTGTGAAGCCCATTTCTGGTGTCCCCCGCCGTGATATTGCTGGAATATTGCTAAAAGCGGCGTAAAACCATACTCACTCACTCACTACAACGATATGACGACGGTCTGTAATTAATCGTTTCCGGACCAGACAATCCAGAGATCGTCATCATGACCATCGATCTGCGCATTTGAGATACGATGACATGCATCAAACCTGACCACCCGATTTGTTTGTTTGCAGCTATATGACAGCGGTCAGTAGATAATTGCGTCTGGACCAGACAATCCAGTGATTGACATCATGAGCATCATTGGGATACGATGACATGCATCAAACCAAGTCAGCGAGCCTGACCACCCGATCCCGTTAGAAGCCTCTTACGACAAGCATAGTCGCCTTTTATGGCCTGATCACCAGATCTCATTAGTCGCCTCTTACGACAAGCATGGGTTGCTGAAAACCAGTTCTATCCCGGAACGTCGCGGGTTGTAACTGCCACTAGTGGGGTTATACGAGCGCTTCAAGCTTAACCTGCATTCGTCACCACTCGCCCCTTTCCGTATCCGGCTATTCGGCTTGTCCCGGAATAACACGAGTTGGTCACGAATGGCTTAACCTGATTTCGCGCTGAGGCTCCTTGACTCCTGAGCGTTTCTAGGAATTGCTACACCCAGGCAATTGCTTCATCCTCATCCAGGATGCCATGGCAAAGTAAATGCAACATTTTGAAAACAGCACATTGCGTTGTATACTCCCAAGGGAGTTGGGAATGCAAATTGATTTTCATACTGACCTGGACAAAAAAAAATCATGAAATAGAAAATTGGGTCCTGCGATTTATTCAAGGCCCAACCATTATCATCGTTATTATGCTGATACTCGAACGTGTTTTTTAATGTAAAGAGCACACAATGATTTTTACCTATCAGGTGCCCCCAGACCGTAAATAACGGTTTCGCAATGCCACGATTTGCTATAAAACAACGTCTGCGCGCCGCAAACAGCAATGGCGCAAAACAAAGTTGACAGACATTTTAATGTTCATCGGAACATAATCACAAATCTACAGCAGGGCAACACTCATGACTGGTCACGGGCCAGTCGTCCACGTGTGACGTAATGTCAACAAGAACACCATATTCGGTTGGTGCATCTACGGATTTGATACCAAACTGCCGCATTAACAGCTCGGATAATTCCTGGGTTAAGACAAATTGGTGGCAGAACCTTACGCAATAATTGTGGATGGAGAACAATATCCGGTCCCGACGTCCCGCGACACGCCCAATTGTGCTTCCATATCACAGTCAGGTGCGCCTAGCTTTCGTTACTATGGTCTTCAGTTTTGGGTAGGAAGTGTAATGGTATGGGGTGACGTCCCAGAACACAACGCATCATTGTAAATGGCAATTGGAAGGACGTACGCTACTGGGACAACACCGTTCGAGAACATAACAGTACTGTACTGCCATGACCGGCTGTTTCTCCAGACCTGAACATTTCTGTGGATGAGACGGTTCGACGCCTACGACAGGACCAGAAATTGGGTTGACATTTGGAACAACATCCCCCGGACTGTTTTCAATCATCTGGTATCTTCAATGCGGCGCCGCTGCCTCGCCTGTATGAATGCAGCTGGTGGTCACACCCAATATTGTCATTGATAATTGATTTGTTACTCGACCTTTTCTAGGGCGTGTCACTGTCTCCTGTTACCAGGAATGGGTTTTGTCAATGAATTTGTGATGCCAAATCATTAATCAGACAAATGATCAAATATTGTGTCGAAATTTTCATTAACATAACATTTACACCATATCATATGAAGCACAGTTACCTTTTTCCGCTAGTATATATAAAGTTATATATAGCATTTCGCGGAGCCATGTAGCATCAGGTATTGGAGTTCATTGCCGGCATACACTTGGGTGAGTGAGTGAGTGTTCTTAGTTCTACTGGCTACCCACTCACTCATACCTTTACCAGTGTCGTGAGTCTTCAGCAACCCATGCTTGCCTTAAAAGGCGATTATGCTTGTCGTAAGAGGCGACTAACGTTATCGGGTGGTCAGGCTCGCTGACTTGGTTGATGCATGTCATCATTCCCAATTGCGTGGATCGATGCTCATGATGTCAATCACTGGATTGTCTGGTCCAGACTCGATGATTTACAGAATTTCCGTCATATAACTTGAATATTGTTTGGGACGTTAAACAACAAACAAACAAACAAAAACAGTGTCGTGATACATGTACGATAACGGAAAAGATCAACACAAAGCGTTACGTTTTCTCCTTTGTAAACAAGTCATTTGTTTTATCGACGTTTTCACGACCACAAAGCTGCTGAAATCTTTGCTATTGACTTCGGTGTCAGGACAACATGTCAAACATATGTTTGATATATTTATATTGATTTACATTCAGAAAGGGATTGTCAGTCACATGGCAAGTGTCTATTATTGTATTAATCTTCCGTAGCTATTTATATACGCTTCCATTATTTATAATTGAGTAAGTGAGTTGGGTTTACCGCCGCTTTGAACAGTATACAGTTACATCACGGCGTGTCAGCTTAATGTGGAGGAAAGCCCGAAGTGATGCAGGTCTCTGACGTTTACCACTTTGGTGAAACCAACGGTACGGGTATAGTGCTGACAAACCTAGAACATAGTCATATATTTGAATCTTTTCCAAATAGGGTATATCAGGTGGTAGACAGCCTATCCCGTGAACCTGTTTCCTTGCAGAGTATTTAATAAACTTCATCTTGCTATCAGGAGATGTGGCTTGGGTAAGATCTAGTGATATCTCCCAGGAGATAAACCTACAATGAAATTTCACTGCAATGATTTGCAGCATCATTGTGGCACCATCGGTTACTATGACGTCACAACCAAATGACATCACTAATCTATCTGTTACTGAAGCTGGTACTACATCTTACACAAGAATTATGTTGCATGGAAAATATCATCTCACCCTCTCATCTTCCATGCTCAATTATATCAAGACCCATTGATAAACGGGAAAATATCCCAGAGTCTCGGATATTGGTAACTTTTATCAACTCGTGTTGATGTGTTTGATCTCAGAAGACACTCGGGTGACATTCTCTATGTACATGTTGACCCGTATAATGTTTTTGTTTGTTTGCTTGTTGTTTAACGCCGCACTCAGCAATATTCCAGCTATATGATGGCGGTCTGTAAAATAATCGTGTCTGGACCAGACAATCCAGTGATGACATCATGAGCATCTTCACGGGTCTACCCGTATCATGATCACTTGTGTTCAGGACCCGTGAAGATCCGGGGTAGAATAGGTCATCAGCAACCCATGCTTGCCGTAAAAGGCAACTGTGCTTGTCGTAAGAGGCAACTAACGGGATCGAGTGGTCAGGCTCGCTGACTTGGTTGATGCATGTCATCGTATCCCAATTGCGTGGATCGATGCTCATGATGTCAATCACTGGACAGTCTGGTCCAGACTCCATTATTTACAGACCACAGTCACATATCTGAATATTGTTGAATGCGGCGTTAAACAACAAACAAATAAACACCATCTTGTTTTCAGTTTACCGGCCTGAGCAGGAACTGGCATCAGACGTAGAGCAGACGAAATACGCAAGCTGTGGCTTCTCCTCGCAGTCTATTATGATGTACAACAACTACGTGAGGAAATATCACCATCACTCGAGCTTTTTGTTTGCTTTTTATATATCTATTTTTATACAGAATCTTTATTACACCATGATTCCAACCGCCTCCGTGGTCTTGTGGTAGAGCGTCCGCCCGGAGAGCGGAAGGTTCGGGTTTCGATCCCCGGCCGCGTCATACCAAAATACGTTAAAAGATGGTACTTGTTGTTACCCTGTCTGGCGCTCGGCATTAAGGGCTAAAACAAGGACTGCCCGTTCGGAGTCAGTATACTGTGTCTGAGTGGGGTATTCATGTTAAACTGCGGCATGGTATCTCAGTGTGCTAGCACTATAAATCGGCATTAATCGGACTAGTACAAGCAGCCACACACACACACACACACACACACACACACACACACACACACACACACACACACGTGCATGCACGTCGCTATATAAGTGCAATAATCTTGGACGCGACGTTACAACTCTGTACAAAACCAAGTGGGTGTTGATTCAATGTTCAAAGAAAATTAGGGAGCAATAAGTGAGACCTGCATCACTTCGGGCTTTCCTCCCACATTAAGCTGACACGCCGTGATATAACTGGAATACTGTAAAAAGCGGCGCTAAACTCAACTCACTCACTCACTCACTCACTCACTCACTCACTCACTCAAAGAAAAGAAAATGATACAATTACTTTACGTCAAGAACAATTTCTAGTTCAGATGCAGTGGGGGACTTGATATACTTCAGTAATTTGTAGCGTAATATATATCTTTTTGGAATATGTTAAAATGGCGAGTCACTTAGGACAAAACAAGACAGGTTTATTCGGTACAAGGCCTTTGGCCCAAAATAGAGACATATTTACTATTTGTGCATGCGTATTGACAAACACGTATCCTATTTTCAGAATCTATTTTTTTTTTAATTTCTAGCATTGATAATTTTATAGACATAATACGGGCATAACCAATGTTATAGATGGCTTCCTGGTTTTCTTTTACATCTGTATATATACTCACCGACAAAAGAAACGCGAAAACCATACATACTGGTTAATATATGAAGAATTACTCATATTCAAGAGATATTAGATTGGTTCGATGCACAAACGAACAACATGTGATGTGAAGCGACGCTCATGAACGCATCACATGTGACGTCATAGATCCATGACTCGAGATGCACTATTTGTCTCATGGGGGTTTAGCATGTAAAGTTTGGAAATCACGTGCACCTTATCGCGATAAGAATAAAGACACACTTGACAGACTGTTAGTTTTGTAAATAAATGGTACACATTGAAAACATCTCTTCTTAACATGCATACTTCTCTATATGTTTCTATGGTTCTCGTTTCTTTTGGCGGTGAGTATAATAAATTTAGCGCAACTCCGAATTAAGATAATGCATTAAATTAGTCCGAGTAATTAACACCTTAATAAAATACATGTAAGGATACTTTAGTTATTTGTGTGAAATTTGTGTAGATTCCATAAGTCTTAATTTATTTTTTTCGCGAAAATGTCTTGCCCTTTCAGTTGGATTTCTTAAGGTGGTCTGGAGTTAATACCCATTACAATAAATAAATCTAAACTTAATGGTGACGTTTATCGCTGAGAAAATTGACATTCCTTGGAAAGCGCACTTTGCATTTTTTGTCATTACTTTAACTAAAGGAATATTCCTTATGGATGGAATGGCTTGTTTTTCACTTTATCAGTACAGTAAACTACGGTTATAACGAACTCGAGGGGACCACTAATTCGTAATAACCGTAGTTCGTTATAAGCATACATACAGCATATATACAACAAATGGTTGGGACTAAAAAATAAGTTCGTTATATAGGACAGTTCGTAAGAAACATGTTCGTTATAAACGTAGTTTACTGTAAAAGCACACATGCAGCTGCCTTCGTTGATTAATCATCCCGATATTTCGTGATTCTATTTCAAGTGGCGAAGGCTATATATTCCTACCCCGAATCCCTACGGGTGTAACCATAGCAAACACATAATCACTAATGTTCGTTCCAGCTGATTACCAAGTACGGATGGCCAACCTACACCTACTTGTACCCCGGCGCAGGGCGACCGTCGTTCGACAGTCTGTTCTTGTTCTTCAAGGAAATAAGCATCAACCATAAGTGCTGCGGTATGTGCCCTACTAAAAAGCGTTGATACCCTTACCCTTACCCATTTTGACATTTCCCAGGGTCATGATCAGGTGGACAATTGACTTGCCTTTGCATGTGTTTGTGACGTGTGCGGAATCGAACAATGTTCTTGTTCTTCAAGGAAATAAGCATCAACCACAAGTGCTGCGGTATGTGCCCTACTTAAAAGCGTTGATACCCTAACCCTTACCCATGTTGACATTTCCCAGGGTCAGGTGGACAATTGACTTGCCTTTGCATGTGTTTGTGACGTGTGCGGAATCGAACGATGTATTGGTTGCTGTATTTATTATGATGTTCTAGGGGAGGAAAGCTGCGACAGCACCACCTGTGCTAACGAGGGCTATATGGGGAATGTCGAGGGGACGTGCCAGTGCGTGTGTCCGCCCGGCCTCGATAGCCGCACGAAGTGTACAACTGTCCTCTCCGAAAGATGTAAGTATTTAACTATTTTATGTATACCTGGCTAGGATCGACCAAGCACTGACCAGTGCCTACTCACGATAAGCGCGCATTTCGTTTAATCAAGCGATCCAACTTTTGACAAATGTGGATAAAACTTTGGAGAAGTTTTCTTGTTCCCGCCAGGGGCTGTGGAGTAGCCTAGCGGTTAAAGCGTTCGCTCGTCACGCTGAAGACCCGGGTTCGATTCCCCACATGGGTACAATATGTGAAGCCCATTTCTAGTGTCCCCCGCCGTGATATTGCTGGAGTATTGTCTTCTAGCCGAGTTTAGACCTGTAAACGTATTAAAAATAATACATTGTTTATATTAAATATATGATATTATTCTTTTTTCGACAAGCTGCCAACTGTCACGCTTATGACTCGAGGCTAGTCATAGTCACGTTGTCAGGGTCAAGATCATATATATGAAAATATATAATTTTGATAGAAGCAAGAAACTACATTGATGTGGAACCTAAGTGAGATGGGAGATTGAGACAAGGGCCTGTGGAAAATCTTGACCTGCATCATTTAGGCCTATAACATGCTAGGTGGAAAATAATTGGTTCTGTGACTACCTTCGTCTCTGTAGCCTTGTAGGGGCGGTCGGGTGGCCTAGTGGTTAAAGCGTTCGCTCGTCACGCCGAAGACCCGGGTTCGATTCCCGACATGGGTACAATGTGTGAAGCCCATTTCTGGTGTCCCCCGCTTTGATATTGCTGGAATATTGCAAAAGCGGCGTAAAACCATACTCACTCACTCACTCACTGTAGCATTGTGAGTAAATCAATAGGCTAACGAGGTGCTGATTAACTGCGATGCTTTAAAGAATCTCTTTTTCAAGAACCTGTTCACCAAAAAGAGATATTTTACGTCCGTTTCTTAATGTGCATGGGAAGTATGTTTGAAACATTAAATTGTTGAGGACTGTTTTTTTCAGATTTTCTCTCGGGTGATTTGTAAGATAAAACACTACCCTACTGGGTTTTATGATATTCAAAACCCACAACCTCGGATGGCCTCTCATTTTTGTCCCTCGGCGAGGGTTTAAATCTATACATTTTAGACCATCGGACGTGTTTTATCTTTAACATTTAAAAGAAACGAGAACCATAGAAACATATAGAGAAGTATGCCTGTTAAGAAGAGATGTTTCCAATGTGTACCATTTTGGATAAAGTGATTAGCTCATGACACTGTCAAGCCCAGTTGATACTAGACCAGTTATGAGAGGGCTCTGTTGTTCTAAAGCCACACCCATTTCTTCACCCCCTTACTCTCCCCAGACCCAGTGACAAACTGGCCAAGCGAGGTGTCTTATCTTGCGCCGAAGGAGGGGTGTCCAGACGCCAGCTTCAGTGTGGGGACGCGCATCGCCCAGAGTGAAGGGGATAACGCCTACTCCTCCCCCAACACCCTGGCTGGCCTCCAGTCCCCCAGCGTCCTCCAACTCGACTTCTGCACCAACACCGGCAACACCTACTCCGGGACGTGGACACCGGGGACCTACTGCTTCTTCAATCCTGGACTCAACTGCTCCGACCACGGTATTCTTTGTTTGTTTGGTCGGTTGTTGTTTAACGCCGCACTGTCACGGCGGTCTGTAAACAATCGAGTCTTGGCCAGACAATCAAGTGATTGACATAATGAGCATCGATCCAGGCAACTGGGATACGATGACATGCATCAACCAAGTCAGCGAGCCTGACAACCCGATCCCGTTAGTCGCCTCTTACGACAAGCAAAGTCGACTTTTATGGCAAGCATTGGAAATGTCAGTCGTAGCACATTTGTAAATATTTTGTTTGTTTACTCGAAATGTATTAGGGACGGGGCTGAAAAGAGTGGGGTAGCCTAGTGGTTGAAGCGTTCGCTCGCCACGCCGAAGGCCCGGGTTCCATTCCTCGCTTGAAGTCCCTTTCTAGTGTCCCTTGTCGTGATTTTGCCGGATTAATGCTAAAGGCGGCGTAAGACCCAATTAAATCATTCGCTCAAAGGTTATGATGTCAGTCAATCTGATGACCATGACAACCCGGGGACATCATTAGACAGGACAGACACACGTTTGTGTGGGGATTGTAGAGGTGAACGGTTTAACCCCCACCCCTACCACACCACCACACCCACCCCTAAAGGCGGCGTAAAAGCGTTCGCTCGTCACGCCGAAGACCCGGGTTTGATTCCCAGCATGGGTACAATGTTTGAAGCCCATTTCTAGTGTCCCCCGCCGTGATATTGCTGGAAAATTGTTAAGAGGCGTAAAACCATAATCACTCTCTTATTAAAATCCGTCCAGCGTTTGAATAAACCCTTAATTCGAACTCATGACCTGTATTCGTAACCTGACAGGATTCGACTCGGCCCTCTACCAAGTGAACGAAGCCGCCTCTGGCAATAAGTGTGGGAGCTACGCCAGCTCCTGCGGCCTCCCCGACGGCGACTTCAGCGAAGGCGCAGTCTACCAGTTCTGTTGCCGTGACGACAGGATCCCCGGCGACAGACTGATCCTCCCCAACGATTTCCCCTTCACGTTGATGAAGACGACGAACAACGACTGCATGGAAGTTGCAGGTAGGTTTCAGATGTTGCTGATGGTTCACTTGCATCCACGTGTCAGGCTGTAGATTTTACATGATTGTCGACATCAATCTACGCGTTTTAACTCCGTCAGTAACCACTGCTGCTGCTACTACTACTGATAACCGCCTCTGTGGTCAAGTGGTGAGTGGGAGGTCGGGGATTGGATCCCTTGCATTGTCATACTAAAACAACGTCAAAAGATGGTACTTGTTGTTACCCTGCCTGGGGTAACAAGGGCTGGTCTGCTCGGAGTCAGTCATCTTCTCGAGGCAAGGGAGTTAACTGATTTAAAAGTCCAGTTTCCACCCTTGCCGAACTTGGCTGGAATTCCTGGGCGCTATCGTAGCGCCACCATTGGTTATTACGAGTTATGCCCCTTCTAAGCCTCTCCTATGGACCAATCAGATTCCACCTCTCGTATCACTTACATTTGCTTCAAACAAAATGGCGGCGCCCAGTCAAGATCTGATCGATAATCAAGATCTACATTGTGATAAAACGGGTCTTTCATCGCGAAGTGCATCAAATCACATGAGCACCTTGATAGAAAACATGAAAATATCTGTTGACAACGAGTTGGCGGTGCACATGCTTTACAAATCCTGCAATCGACCGTTAGTCCAGCCAAAATGTAATTCGATAATACCAGCCTAGTTCGGCAAGGGAACTGGACTTTTATAGTGAGTTGACTCTCTTGCTTCGGGAAGATGGGAGTCAGTATAACGTGTCTGAGTAGGTTATCCATGTTATAAACAGCGGAATGGTACCTCAGTGACTTGCAGACCAGTACATGCAGCAGACTAGTTGAGGAGGCCGGACTCGTACAAACAGCAACACACACACACGTGCATGCGCGTCACTACATGAGTGAGACAACAACTTATGTTACCTCTTTTACCACTACAAACACCACCACTACAACTACTACTGCTACTTCTACCACTACTACTGCAACTTATGCCACCTCTTTTACCATCACAACCACTACTACTACTACTACTACTACTACTACTACTGATGCAACTACTGCTACCACTACTACTACAACTTGTGCAATCTCTTTTACCAACACTACAACTACAACTACTGCTACTGCTACTGCTACCACAACTTACTCTACCTCTTTTACCACCACGACCACCACTACTTATACTACCTATACTATACTATTTTACTACTACTACTACCACTGCCACTACCATTACCACTACCACCAACACCACACTACTACTTTAACTACTACTACTACAACTACCACCACCACTACTACTACTACCACTACAACTACTACTGCTACTACCACTACAACAACTACCAACACCACTTACAACAACACTACCACTACCACTACAACAACTACCACCACCACTAACAACAACACTACCACTACTACCAATATCACTACTACTAATACTACTAATACTACAACTACAACTACAACTACAACTACAACTACCACTACTACTACTACTACCACTACCACTACCACTACCACTACCACTACCACCAACACCACACTACTACTTTAACTACTACTACTACAACTACCACCACCACCACTACTACTACTACCACTACAACTACTACTACTACTACAACAACTTCCACCACCACTTACAACCAAACTACTACTACCACTACTACAACAACTACCACCACCACTAAAAACAACACCACCACTACTACCAATACCACTACTACTAATACTACAACTACCACCACCACTACTACTACTACTACAACTACCACCACCACTTACAACCAAACTACTACTACCACTACTACAACAACTACCACCACCACTAACAACAACACCACCACTACTACTTCTACCACTACCACTACCACCACCACCACTACTTCTACCACTACAACTACTACTACTACTACAACTACCACCACCACTAACAACAACACCACCACTACTACTTCTACCACTACCACTACCACCACCACCACTACTTCTACCACTACAACTACTACTACTACTACAACTACCACCACCACTAACAACAACACCACCACTACTACTTCTACCACTACCACTACCACCACCACCACTACTTCTACCACTACAACTACTACTACTACTACAACTACCACCACCACTTACAACCAAACTACTACTACCACTACTACAACAACTACCACCACCACTAACAACAACACCACCACTACTACTTCTACCACTACCACTACCACCACCACCACTACTTCTACCACTACAACTACTACTACTACTACAACTACCACCACCACTAACAACAACACCACCACTACTACTTCTACCACTACCACTACCACCACCACCACTACTTCTACCACTACAACTACTGCTACTACTACAACTACCACCACCACTAACAACAACACTACCACTACTACCACCACCACTACTACTACTACTACTACCACTACTACCACCACTACCACTACCACTACAACTACCACTACTACAACTACCACCACCACTACCACTACCACTACCACTACTACTGCTACCACTACTACCACTACTGCTTCTACTCACTCACACCAGTCATCTACGGGTCATTGACTGCTACTAAACACACTCTCTCAACTCCTGTAGGTATGAACGCCCAGAGCGAGTATTTCATCTTTGACCAAGCAGGACCCTCTACCTTCAACTTCGGTGACATTCAGCCCTCCATCACAGCCTCCTCCGGCGACAAGCTCCAGTTTGACTACTGCAGATACGAGCCAGTCGATTACAGTAAGTGCAGACCAAACTCGGTGTCTACATACACGGTTACTGCAATAACACGGCCAGTACATAATCCACACTTTTCTCCGTGTTTTTTTTTATTAAAACAGATACAAAAGACAGTAATCACTCAATGCAAACGTAATGAACTCGTCCAAATCGAAACCAATCCTACCCGTGAAGATCCGGGGTACAATAGGTCTTCAGCAACCCATGCTTACCGTAAAAGGCGACTATGGTTGTTGTAAGAGGCAACTAACGGGATCGGGTGGCCTGGCTTGTTGACTTGTCATCGTACCCCAAGTACGTGGATTGATGCTCATGATGTCGATCACTGGGTTGTCTGGCCCGGACTCGATTATTTACAGACCGCCGGCATATAGCTGGAATATGCTGAATGCGGCGTTAAACAACCACTAAACAAACGAAACCAATCCTTGATATAGAAGCGGCCTATAAATGGTTCCGTCGTGAGGGAATCTTGAGTGAATCGTGTCAATCTTTAACGATGTGTTCGCAAACGTGGGCGAAACGAATAACAAGATCACGTCACACTATTGTCTACTTAACACGCTACAAAAGGTCATAACTGGGATTTCTTCAGTCGGAATTCGATTTGTCTGTCTTATACATGAGGGCTTGCAGCTGAAAATATATTTTCTGGAACAAATCTTCTTTTCAAAACATCTTCTATCAAAATTCAAATACCGTATCTAAATGATGCTCTATTACAAATAGCCTTATAAAATGTCATTGTGCAGCTGTCTGACGTTGTGTATCCGTTTGCCGGTGTGTCTGTTTGTCAATGTGTATGTTTGTCGGTGTGTCTGTTTGTCGGTGTGTCTGTTAGTCGATGTGTCTGATAGGCGATGTGTCTGTTTGTCAGTGTGTCTGTTTGTCAATGTGTCTGTTTGTCAATGTGTCTGTATGTCGATGTGTCTGTTAGTCGACATGTGTGTTAGTCGATGTGTCTGTTAGGCGATGTGTCTGTTTGTCAGTGTGTCTGTTTGTCGATGTGTCTGTTTGTCAATGTGTCTGTATGTCGATGTGTCTGTTAGTCGATATGTGTTAGTCGATGTGTCTGTTAGTCGATGAGTCTGTTTGTCGATATGTGTGTTAGTCGATGTGTCTGTCTGTTTGTCGTTGTGTCTGTTTGTCGGTGTGTCTGTTAGTCGATGTGTCTGTATGTCGATGTGTCTGTTAGTCGATGTGTCTGTTAGTCGATGAGTCTGTTTGTCGATATGTGTGTTAGTCGATGAGTCTGTCTGTTTGTCGGTGTGTCTGTTTGTCGGTGTGTTTATTTGTCGGTGTGTGTGTCGATGTGTCTGTTTGTGGGTGTGCCTGTGAGTCGGTGTGTTTGTTTGCCGATGTGTCTGTTTGTCGATGTGTCTGTTTGTCGGTGTGGCTGTGGGTCTGTCTGTCTGTCTGTCTACTTCCAACGAACATCACGTCTTTCAGACTGTGGAGGCTTGTTCGATCTGAGTGATAGCAATACAGAGCAGTACTTCTCCTCCCCCGGTTACCCAAACCCGTACGGCTCCAACACCGAGTGCAACTGGGTGTTTAAGGTAAGGTAGCAAATTCTTTAAATTAATTTTTCGTTTTACGGATTCGACAAAACCCACAATCCTAAAAAAAATTTAAAATATTTCAATTCAGACTTATTTGCCTAAACTTGGCCTTCTGACATTCCTTAAAAAAACACGATGCCTTGATATCATACTGTTCTGATTAGATATATGTACATTGTGTTTAGCAAGTTAGTTTCATACTTTGACTAAAGATTGTCGCGATGAAAAGCCGTAAAGAAAACTTGTTGATTGAAAAATTTATCTACAGTAAACTACGGTTATAACGAACTCGCTTATAACAAACTGACGGATATAACGAACTACTTTTTTGGTCCCGATAATTAGCTGTATTATGCTGTATATATGCTTATAACGAACTACGGTTATAACGAACTAAAATTAGTGGTCCCTTTGAGTTCGTTATAACCGTACTTTACTGTATTCTAATTTTTATTTCACAAATGAAATTTGAACATTAAAACGAATTGATAATATTACTTTTATGTGTTTTTACCTGTTTTCATTTGTAGTTTATGATGGATAATATTATTCATATTTTCATATTTTATCGCGAGCCGACCTATCATTACAAAGAAAATAATTGTGAGAGCGCGGTTTACTTCACTTAACGTCACAAACCATGTACCACTAAAATCAAAAAGTGCGTAAAGATTCCGATTTAAAAGTTAGACAAAAAATACCATGTTCAACTGTGTAGACTTTGAATGAATAATTTACTGCATAGCTGATAAATTGATGTTTACTTATAAATTATTGTTATTATTATTATTATTATTATTATTATTATTATTATTATTATTATTATTATTATTATTATTAAATTATGTTTTTTTCTTTGGTGTAAGCAATTGCTTTTCAGCTACAATGGTAGCTTCGTCCCTGGAATGGAATTCCGAAGAACAAATACACTGTTGCGGCAGTAAATTAATTAAAGATGACCGTCTCTTCCCGCAGGCTCCCGAGGGTTCCAGGGTGCTCCTTGAATGTAGCGACATCGCCATCGGATGCGATGCGTCGTTTACGGTCAGCAAGAACATGTTTGGTGAAGGCGGTGTGATGTAAGATTTGTTTACCCATGGTTGATGATAAGCGAGTGACAAATTCAATACCAACATACATGGAATATTACTATCAAGCCTAAGAAATCCGAGGTTTGAAACCGCGAGCAGTGTATCGTGGACCAAGGGAAGTAACTCTGGCTGCAACTCCTTCTATCTCGACGCTCCTACCTTTTGACGCCTCGATAACTCGAACTCAATTATCTCGATACCTCGTTTGAGTCGATGTAGTTTCATGGCCTGGCAATAGCCTCCACTCTGCTTGTCTCGAATTACGGATATAGCATGGTCCCCATAACTTCGAGTAAACGAGATTTGAGTATGGCTGTAGTGGTCACTAGCGGATTGTACGGAGCTTCACCAGCTCTCAGGGTGTGTACGTCACGTGACCACAGGTCACCTACACCCTGCTACTGACACATGTAACGAATTTATCGACCCATGAAGTTCCGGGTAGAGAATAGCAACCCCTGCTTGCCGTTAGAGGTGACTATGCTTGTCGTAAGAGGCGAGCCGAGTGATGGTGTGCGTTGAACATTTGTTTTCCCCGGAATCCCCAATTGGTCAAATTTTGTGAGAAATTGTTCCAATAATATTTAAAAAGGGGTGAATCAGTGTGGATTTCATACACCTGGATTATTGCATAGTGCGGCGTTAAACTACAAACAATCTATCATATTTTCGGACACATATGTTTCATGCATATTATGCCCATTATACGTTATGACGAGTAATGATAAAATTAAATGTTTTTTCTCAGACCTGTTTACTCGAACGGAGACAGATTGTCCCCCATACTGTCTATTGCCAACAAACTGAGGGTGACGTTCAGCACAGGGATTCAGGCGTGTGCCTTTTCTGGTTTCGAGTGTACAGCCACGCTCGCCGCATGTAAGTGATTCATGGAGCAATCAGTCATTTTATTCAAGAAACAAACGACGAGTGGGAGTTGTTTATCGTACAATAAAACACTGCAGGGTGAAGAAGACATGAGGGGCGCCGCCCCTAGTGGTTTGTTCTCCCTGCAGTGTTTGATGTACGCTGGGCCCCGTCTCTAGTATCACAATATTGGCGCAAGTTGACGACGCGCATAGGGAGCCGGAAACCAGCTTATGTTTTATTTGTACGGTAAACAACGACCACGAGTCGTATATTTTCGTATATGAGATATCAACATTATGTACAGCCCCTTCAAGGATGATAAAATGTACAAATTTCAAAAATATCTACACGTATTTTATAAGAATGACTCCCTCAAAAGAATCCGATGGCAATGTCGGACAAGTCCATTTTATGCCCAAGTGGGTATTTCCCGCATATTCTCATAATCCTTAGGTCGATGACCTGTAGCTTTTCTCCCAATACCGCGAGGAACAACTCACCCCACCCCCCCACCCCATCACCCCCACCTAAAAATAGCGTCGTCCAATATACGACGTCATCAAGCTGCAAGCGCATCTTTCCAGAAATGGCGTCATCATAGAACAATATTTTATCGTAAAATAAACTACACTTCGTTCTTCATTGTTCTTTGCGACTTATCATGTAGCTATCGTATACGTGTGGTGACGTCACGCCGGTGTGTACGTGTGGTGACGTCACGCCGGTGTGTACGTGTGGTGACGTCACAGCCCTATGTACATGTCATGATGGCCCGTGCATGTAGTGACACAAGATCTGTCCCGGGGAATAACTGCGACGTCAGCCGAATGGTGGGGGCCTTACCTTGTCCACCATTTTGTATTGACTGATACCACGTCCATTTTAGTAAATACCATTCTGACATTCAATTCTGACATTTCAGCAACAAAGTTGCCACATTCATTGGCGAATAGAGGAGAAGAATATTGCGGGCAGGTGAACTACGCCGTGAGCGAGGAGGGCTTCGCGCAGTGCAGGCCCTGGTCGGAGGTGTTTGAAGCCGATCCATCCCTTTTTGCACCATTGTGAGTAGGAGTGAGTGAGTGAGTTGGGTTTAACGCCGCTTTTAACAGTATTCCAGTCATATCGCGGCGTGTCAGCTTAATGTGGGAGGAAAGCCCGAAGTGATGCGTCTCAGACGTTTACCACTTCGGTGAAACCCACGAGCACGGGTATGGTGCTGACAAACCTAGAAACATATATGGGGCGAACCGGGATTCGAACCCACAATGATAGGTTTCTGGCGTGCCCAAGGGACGCAACTCTTTGTGAGTAGGAGTGACGATTTACGGCAGAATCAAAACAAATGCGGGTTTCTTGGAATATACCCACTCTGATCTGGATCCATCGACATATTCATTCTCCGTTTTTATCAAGCTGAACCATGTGTATAAACATGTCTGTATTTATGGCACAAGTGTAAATGCTGAATTGTTTGATAGACATTACTTAGTTGACGGATGACAAAGTAGACATAATTAATGGATAACAACTTCTTCAATACTGTAAAAAGCGGCGTTTCGGTAAAGATCCTTATACCGTTGTCAAGCAAGACTGAATGATGGAGGTGGGAGGAGGTGGGGATGTTGGAAGTAGTGTGATAGTGCTTTAGTAGTTAACAGCACTACTGTGATAGAGTGATGCGTACCTTAACCTTTGTCTTGATGCATTTCTCCTTCCATCCTTCCATCCTTCCACACATGATAAAGCCTACACGTTCGCCATCTCTCTCTCTCTCTCTCTCTCTCTCTCTCTCTCTCTCTCTCTCTCTCTCTCTCTCTCTCTCTCTCTTTAATACTGTAAAAAGCGGCGTTTCGGTATACATCCTTATACCGTTGTCAAGCAAGACTGAATGATGGACATAGTACAGAATATATATACAGCACTTAACAGTAACAACAATTGCATACATGAGTAAGCAATGACAACAGAAGGTCTGGATAATACTGTCACAATATGATGGACAGAGAACACATAGGTGGAAGCCAATGGGACATGAAGCCAATTAAACAGGATAAGTGATTATTGCTTGATGAGTTCATAGTAGGCGGATGAGATGAAATGTCCTTGATCTCTGTTGATTGATGGCTTGTGGCGGCGAATGTGGACTGCTTCTGTTAGTTTTCTTTTAGTGAAATCATGGAGGTTGTTGGAGAGGATTTTGCGGTTGTCCCAGTTATGGGAGGAGGTGGGGGTGTTGTTAACTGTGATGACAACTGTGATAGAGTGATGCGTACCATAACCATGTCTTGATGCATTTCTTCTTCCATCCTTCCACACATGATAAAGCCTACACGTTCGTCATCTCTCTCTCTCTCTCTCTCTCTCTCTCTCTCTCTCTCTCTCTCTCTCTCTCTCTCTCTCTCACCTTTCTCTCTCTCTCTCACACACACACACATAATGGTCTAGTGGTACAGCGTCCGCCCGGAGAGCGAAAGGTTCTGAGTTCGATCCCTCAGTCGATCAATCGGCCTCAGTCAGGACAAGTACAAGCACACACACACAAACAGACACACGCACACGCACACGCACACGCACACGCACACAATTACGTAATGTGGATATCTACTAACTAAAATAAAATGTGTTCTGTCTTACACAGTGCGTCAACACAGAACCACGTCTGTGGCTTTGAATCGAACTACTGCCGAAATGTGCGGGGACTCAAACTCATGCCCTACTGTGCCACCTCTGTACACTTGGGAAACGTGACCTTCACCTACTGTGACGTTGGGCAATTCAGTGAGTATTACGAAGAGTGAGTGAGTGAGTATGGTTTTACGCCGCTTTTAGCAATATTCCAGCAATATCACGGCGGAGGACACCAGAAATAGGCTACACACATTGTACCCATGTCGGGAATCGAACCCTAGTCTTCGGCGAGACGGTATTACGAAGAAAACTACCGTTGTGGGGCGTTGTGTGTGTAGGTGAGATGCTGGGTGTTACGGGGCGTCGTGTGAGTGAAATGCTGGGTGTTACAGGGCGTTGTGTGAGTGAAATGCTGTGTGTTACGAGGCGTGGTTTGAGTGAGAAGGTGAGAATCAGATGCTTGGTTTAACGGGGCTTTGTGTCAGTTAAATGCTGGGTGTATAAGGGCGTCGTGTGAGTGAAATGCTGGGTGTATAGGGGCGTTGTGTGAGTGAGATGCTGGGTGTTACAGGGCGTCGTGTGAGTGAAATGCTGGGTGTATAGGGGCGTCGTGTGAGTGAAATGCTGGGTGTATAGGGGCGTTGTGTGAGTGAAATGCTGTGTGTTACGAGGCGTGGTTTGAGTGAGAAGGTGAGAATCAGATGCTTGGTTTAACGGGGCTTTGTGTCAGTTAAATGCTGGGTGTATAGGGGCATCGTGTGAGTGAAATTCTGGGTGTATAGGGGCGTTGTGTGAGTGGGTTTTCTGTAGAAGGTGAAGACGCATCAGTTGCCATCAGTCTACAAAACATGACTTATTTACATGTCACTTATCAGTCAGGAGAGGGGGGAGATAATCAGAGGATTGTGTCCCGGTTTAAGCTTTTTAAATTGAGAGCTTTTATCACCGTTTTTCTCTGTTTTTCTCAACAGTCCAACCCTTCGACGTCCTCGAGGATTGCTCCAGCTCCCTCTCCCTCGACCCCACGTGTAGCGACCCCGAAACGAGGAGAGTTTGCTTCAAGGAGTGCAAAGACGCGGGCTTGATCACCGACTACCCTGCTGCGGAAACTCCCGGTAGGGACAAGGGGCGATAACTCTCAACTTAAACTGACTCGTGTAGTTCCGCGGAAAGGTTGTTGCGAAAGCCATAAAAGTGTGGCATTCATCACTAATCGCATCTTTCGGAATCCTATAGATATCTCTGTATTTTAAAAAGCAGAACTGTGTCATTTTTTCATGACACCCCTCCCCTACGCCACCCCCCACAGTTGTAATTCATTTTGCAACAACCACCTACCCCCTACCCCCAACCGCTTTTACTGTGTACCCGCGAAGATCCGGGTTGAAATTGGTCTTCAGCAACCCACGCTTGTCGTGAGAAGCGAGCCATCGTATTGCGTGGATCGATGCTCATGAAATCAATCACTGGATTGTCTGGTCCAGACTGAATTATTTACAGACCGCCGCCATATAGCTGGAATATTGCTGAGTGCGGCGTTAAACAACAAATAAACGAACAAACTAGTTCCCTGTGTCATTTTTTCTTGCCCATCCTCCCCTCCTCTTAATAAATTACTATTAATATGAATCTATTTTGTTTCTTGTTGTGTTTTTATTCAAGTGTATTTTATGCTGAGATAACCCGATCTTTTTGTAATAGAGGAATTCAGTTAATGTAAACACATTAGGCTTAGCTCTGACATCTCGATCAGGTGCAACAGAAGCTGTAGATTCAAGGTCTAACCTGCGTATATTTCTCATTACCAGCTCAAGACGTCTCCTGCGGTGAGCCCACGTTGCCAGAGGGAACGACCAACCTCGACGTCAACGCCAACGGCTACAAAGCTGGAGACAGCATCTCCGTCAAATGCAACTCCGGTGACAACACACGGGAGTTTGTGTGCCTGTCAAATGGTCAATGGTCAACCCAGGATAACTTCTGTGCAGGTATGTATGGTCATTGTACCGCCTTTGTCCGTTATACCGCCTTAATTGCTCGATGTCACAGATCAGATAAAAAGCATTTAAAAAACTGAAGTACCCGAAACTGTAGTTTGAACATGGCTACTTAGGTTAGGTTTAACAGTATTACAGTTATATCACGTCGTGTCAGCTTAATGTGGAGGAAAGACCGATGTGATGCAGGTCTTAAGCTTTTACTACTTGATAAAACCCACGAGCACGGATATGGGGTCTTCAAACCTTGAAGCATAATAGTGGAAAACTGGGATTCGAACCCACAATCATAGGTTTCTGACATGCACAGCAAATTGTGGCGCCTAAGACCACTGGACCACCCGTGCCTCAAACAGGGTATGTTAATATCGAATGATATACATACATGTATATCTATAATTCGCAAGCCACTGATCTCGTGATTGAATCAATTTTTCGTAATATCATGCGGAGAATTCTGGGCGGTAGAGAGGCGTAGTGAACGAGTGAGTATCGTTTTACGCCGCTTTTAGCAATATTCCAGCAATATGACGGCGGGGGGCACCAGAACCGGGCTTCACACATTGTACACATGTAGGGAATCGAACCCGGGTCTTCGGAGTGACGAGCGAACGCTTTAACCACTAGGCTACCCGACCGCCCCAGAGAGGCGTTGTAGTTAAAGTGTTTGCTCGTCACGCCGAAACCCCGGGTTTGATTCCCTACATGGTATATGTGTGAAGCCCATTCTGCTGCGGCCGTGATATTACTTTAATATGTATGAACTGTGGCGTAAAAATAGCATGCCAGTTGATAACAAGCTACGAACCCATTACACTGAGAACTGTCGAGATTTACCGCCTTAAAGAGTACCGTTACCTCATTAACACATGGGGCACGGGTGGCCCAGTCGTCTAAGGCGCCGCGATTCGCTGTGCAGAGTTGCGTCCCTTGGGCACGCCAGAAACCTATGATTGTGGGTTCGAATCCCGGTTTGCCCGGATTATGTTTCTAGGTTTGTCAGCACCATACCCGTGCTCGTGGGTTTCACCGAAGTGGTAAACGTCTGAGACCTGCATCACTTCGGGCTTTCCTCCCATATTAAGCTGACACGCCGTGATATAACTGGAACAATGTTAAAAGTGACGTTAAACCCAACTCACTCACTCACTCATTAACACAGTATGTTCTGTTTTTCAAAGGGTGCCCAGCGGGCTTCATAGAGCGAAGTGGAAACTGCTACAAATTCCCCGCAGGAACGTTTAAAGGTGTCGATGCAAGGGCGGAATGTGCTAAAGCCGAAAACGGAAACAGCGTTCTTGTATACCCAGAGAGCCAGACCGAACTCGAAGACATCATTGTTGACTTGAGAGATAATGTTCTGGGGTAAGTCCATCATCCAACAACTTGATCGATGATCACTTTATATGCGTTATTCACTTTGTGTCTGATGAACGTTGAATTCGTTGTTCGGTACATCAGTTGATCGCTCAGATATACGTTGATCACTTATTGTCTGATGATCAATATCCGTTTGTCACTCAGATATTCTTTGGTCACTCAGATGTCAGTTTCTCACTAAGATATCCGTTTGTTACTTAGATATCCGTTTGTCACTTAGATATATGTTGGTCACTCAGACATCCGCTGGTCACTTAGATATCCGTCTGTCACTCAGATATCGATTTGTCACTTAGATGTCAGTTGGTAAGTTAGATATCCGTTGTCGCTTCGATATCCGTTTGTCACTTAGATATCAATTGGTCACTTAGATGTCAGTTGTTAACCGAGATATCCGTTGGTCACTTAGAAATCCGTTTGTCACTCAGATATCCGTTGGTCACTTAGATAACCGTTGGTCACTTAGATATCCGTTGGTCACTTAGATATCGTCTGGTCAATTAGATATCCGTTAATCACTTAGATATCGATTGGTCACTTAGATAACCGTTGGTCACTTAGATGTCAGTTGTTAACTTAGATATCCGTTTGTCATGTAGATATCTGTTGATCACTTAGATATCCATTGGTCACTTAGATGTCAGTTGTTAACTTAGATATCCGTTTGTCATGTAGATATCTGTTGATCACTTAGATATCCGTTTGTCACTTAGATATCGTTGGTCACTTAGATATCCGTTTGTCACTCAGATATGGGTCACGTAGATATCCGTTGCTCACTTAGATATCCGTTAATCACTTAGATATCGGTTGGTCACTTGGATAACCGTTGGTCACTTAGATGTCAGTTGTTAACTTAGATATCCGTCAATCACTTAGATATCGGCTGGTAACTCAGATATCCGTTGGTCACTTAGATGTCAGTTGTTAACTTAGATATCCGTAAATCACTTAGATATCGGCTGGTCACTCAGATATCCGTTTGTCACTTAGATGTCAGTTGTTAACTTAGATATTCTTTGGTCGCTTAGATATCCGTTTGTCACTTAGATATCCGTTGGTCACTTAGATGTCAGTTGTTAACTTAGATATCCGTTGGTCGCTTAGATATCCCTTTGTCACTTAGATATCCCTTTGTCAATTAGATATCTGTTTGTCAATTAGATATATGTTTGTCATTTAGATATCCGTTTGTCACTTAGATATCCGTTTGTCATTTAGATATCGGTTGGTCACTTATATATCTGTTGGTCACTTAAATATCCGTTTGTCAGTTATATATCCGTTGGTCACTTAGATACCTGTTGGTCACTTAGATACCTGTTGGTCACTTTGATATCCGTTTGTCACTAACATATCCGTTGGCGACTTGGACTCAGGAAATATGTCATTCTACAACTATACCACCTGTTCTATGAAACCATACCTAACGTTCTGCTTTATTGTTCTATTTTACCAAAGCTCTATGATGGCAGCTTATTTGATTCCGAACCCAAAACAGTTTCAAACGATAAGCAAATTGTGCTGCTTTGAGTTCAACATTTCAATAAATATTGTATTTTAAATATTTTACTTATTTTCGTGTTTAGTAGCTCTAGCTTTAACACAGTTTTGTACAGTGAGTGAGTGAGTGAGTGAGGTTTAACGCCGCTTTTAACAGTATTCCAGTTATATCACGGCGTGTCAGCTTAATTTTGGAGGAAAGCCCAAAGTGATGCAGGTCTCAGACGTTTACCACTTCGGTGAAACCCACGAGCACGGGTATGGTGCTGACAAACCTAGAAACATAATCGGGGCGAACCTGGATTCGAACCCACAATCATAGGTTTCTGGCGTGCCCAAGGGACGCAACTCTGCACAGCGAATCGCGGCGCCTAAGACGACTGGGCCACCCGTGCCCCCTCAGTTTTATACAGCTAGAATGACTTTGAGTGTATTGAGGAGATATCCCCCTCCCTTTAATACCCAACGACCTGCTTCGGGAACCGGATTAGAATGTGTCCCAGACAACGAGCCAATCCGTGTGGTCGCCTTTTTACGACATGCGTAGTTTTATAATGTTCCCGGTGACCAATTCTAATCCAAAATTCCCATTCTATTTCTTTCTTTTTTTAAAGTGAAAATTGTGTGGTAATTAACATTTAATTAAACAAATCACTGAATCTATTTTCTTTACAGGCTTAGTACAGCTAAACTTTGGTTTGGGATTACCCCGAGTGGAAGTGGATGGATTTCGGATTACGATAACTCTCCTGTTACTGGCAGCTACCTGTGGAAAAATGGTGCAGGTACGACCACGCACAGACTAATATTAATATACAACAAAAATGAAATTAAAGAATAGCCGATCGTTTCAAACGACTTTACTTAATTTCTATCATATCCATTTGAAAAGATGTTCAAGATGTTCTTTAACCTAAGATCATAGGTTTCTGGCGTGCCCAAGGGACACAACTCTCCAAGGCGAATTGCGGCGCCTTTTCGCCCTATGAACACCGTTTTACATGCACCGGTTTGTCGTATGACGTCACCTCACCCTCGAAGGTGAAACAATGAAACAGTACTTGCCGATGTAGCCTGGTTCCCTGGGTATGCTGCGCTGGCGCAGTGTAGCGCCAGCGCAGCATACCCAGTGAACCAGGCTGTGGCCGATGCACCTCAAAATGAATGACTTACTCTGACATTTCCCTTTCCACGTGTGTTTAGTGAACGGGATTAAGGGAAGCGCAAGTACCAATATGGCCTGGTTGCTACCTGGTAACCACAAGTTCGCAAACAAACTAGCCAAGACGAGCAACAATAAACACTCCGGATATGCCTTGTGCAAGCTGCCACTTACAGGTAAGGCCGTTTCCACGAATTAATAATAATAATAAGAAGAAGAAACTTGCATATTAGGTAACTCGACCAACCAATCAGGTATTTGCGACCTCCAATATTCCTCTCCGATGTAGGTATAATTGTTAACACTTTGTTGACCTTTGTTGGAAAGTGAACACAGCCCGGAAAAATAAAAAATATCCTTATTCGTTGTTAATTTGGATATAGAAATTAGTTGCCAGTTTCAGTAGGAAGAAATGTTTTTTTTCAATTTAATAAAACGAGTCCCTAATCCTGATGATGACGATGACGATGATGATGATGATGATGATGATGATGTGCTGAATCAACTCAGCTCTACATTACAACTTTATTCCTGCCCTGGTCACTGGATCTTTGGTCTCATTTCCCTGGGGAGTATACAAGCCAAGCTGCCTGATGAGGCGCTATAAGCTTAACATTACCATTTCATCCTACCGGGTACCCATTCACTACGTGTCGAACAGAGGCATATTTCGAACAAATAAAGTCGATTGCCAAAAGAGACACTTGTAACATTTGTTTCAGGGCGGGGCTAGACCGAAGCTCCAGGTAATCTCAGGATTCAAGCTTATCGAACACGGTCACCAATCCACCTGCTCTCCGCAACTAAAGTTTCTTAATTGCGCTTTATTTGTGACTTTTGTGCCATGCCCAATCTATAACTGATCCGAGTATGATGTCTTGATCTAGGCGGTTCCTCATCTTGTAATGACAAAAAGGCCGACTGTGGGACAATTCTCAGCGGTAATCCCCAACTGCGGTACAGTGCAAGCTTTGCCAAGGAATTCTGTGAATACACATCGGGGAACTGTGAACCAGGTAGGTGACGTCATGGTAACTACGATATGTTACCCTTGTTACAAAGTTGTGATGGGTAATGCTGGATGAGAGCCCGAAGTAACGTTTACAACTTTGGTGAAACCATCGCCAAGGGTGATAATCAGGATGAATCTTCGAAACCAGTATGGGATGAGGATGTAACTCTTTGTTTGTTTGTTTGTTTGTTTGTTTGTTTGTTTAACGTCGGATACCTGTAAGTGATACGAACACCTTACATTATGAGATACGTTCAACGTACTGGATCCAGACTTGGTGGATGCATGTCATCGTATCCCAATTGCGTGTATCGATGCTCATGATGTCAATCACTGGATTGTCTGGTCCAGGCTCGATTATTTACAGACCACCGTTAAACGCCACACTCAGGAATGTCAACCAAGTCTGTTTATAACGGCGGTCTATAAGCAATGGAGTCTAGACCACACAATCCAGTGATTGACACCATGAGCATCGATCTACGCAATGATACAATGATATGCAATCAAGTCAGTGAGCCTGACCACCCGATCCCTCTTTCGCCTCTTGAGTGTGAGTTTGGTTTTACGCCGCTTTTAGCAATATTCCAGCAATATCAGGGCGGGGCCACACCAGAAATGGGCTTCACACATTGTACCCATGTCGGGAATCGAACCCGGGTCTTCGGCGTGACGAGCGAACGCTTTAACAACTGGGCTACCCGACCGCCCCTCGCCTCTTGAGACAAGCATTGGTTGCTGAAGACATATTGGACCTGGCTTTTGCGCAGACATTGAAAATGCAATATTTATTTTTTATCCATCTAGTCTCTCACAAAGTACTTATAATGAATTTGTTTTGACCCGCTGAGTATGTCTAATACGTGTTTAATGTCCTAGGCACGTGCACCGTCCCCACTCCCCCGGCTGGTGTTGTTGCCGACGCGACGACCTTGGAAACTGGCGATGCCGTCAAGTACGAATGTGGTTCCGGGTATGTCTACCAGAGCGGAAACAGAATCCGTGCCTGCCAGAGAGATGGGACTCTCACCGGAACTGACATCATATGCGGAGGTGAGACTTTCCCCTCTATTGAGTGAGTGAGTGAGTGAGTGAGTTTGGTTTTCCGCCGCTTTTAGCAATATTCCAGCAATATCACGGCGGGGGACACCAGAAATGGGCTTCACACATTGTACCCATGTCGGGAATCGAACCCGGGTCTTCGGCGTGACGGGCGAACGCTTTAACCACTAGGCTACCCGACCGCCCCTTCCCCTCTATTGATATTCGTCCCAACTCGCCGCAATCATCAAGCTCATCGCCGGCTGTTCCCGGAAGGACACGAGTGGTACCGAATGATCTATTGCCCATAAAACCGGCCCTTGCATTACGAAACAGCAGGGACTAACTGCGTGAGTGAATGTTGCGTTAGGCCGCAGACAAACACATCTGCTACATTTAACGTGGTTAAAATCATGAGCACATGTCCCTCCGCTAGAGGCCGTGGAAGAATCAGCAGGATAATGTATTATTTTCCTGATATGAATATTCTGACAATATCCTCCTCAAAAATTGCATATCCCTCGGCAGCAAAATCAGTAAATTCCTGTATTTCTAGGGGGGTGGGGAGGATGGTCGTCGTCTAGGGCGCCGCGATTCGCTGTGCAAAGCTGCGTCCCTTTGGCACGCCAGAAACCTATGATTGTGGGTTCGAATCCCGGTTCGCCCAATTTGGTTTCTAGGTTTGTCAGCACCATACCCGTGCTCGTGGGTTTCACCGAAGTGGTAAACCTCTGAGACCTGCATCACTTCGGGCTTTCCTAAAAATTAAGCTGACACGCCTAGATATAACTGGAATACTGTTAAAAGCGGCGTTAAACCTAACTCACTCACTGTATTTCTAGTCTGACTTGGATATTAAAAAAGTATACCTTACTCGAAAATCTATTTTAAATATCACGCAAACATACGTCAAATTAAACCCATTTCGGACCTTCATGTCGTGTTATATTTTTTTCGGGACTGAATTGTGTACCGGTACACTACAAATCAATATTTCTCGTGCGCCAGGTGTCACAGCCTTGCTGCCTCTACTCCACACATAGCTTCAATATCAGGCACACGTAGGGTTCGCACAGCGTTGCACGGAGTCTGGCTCCTTTGACTTCCTTGAGCAACACATGGCGCGAGTGCGCACGGCTGAGGCGACTAACGGGATCGGGTGGTCAGGCTCGCTGACTTGGTTGATGCATGCATACACGGGTGCGAGCGAGAGAGCGTGGTTTATATAGATTGGTAGTGTACATGGTATCTCACACGAGCTTTAATAGTCAGTCTCATAGTCCGTGAACCATATTATATTCCCTTCCGCACAGCCCTTACGGTAGTCCTGCACCATGGCTGTGGAATATATTTATTTTATATATAAAAAAAATAATCTAGAAATGCATACAAAAGCAAGTCTAGGTTCCACATATGAAATCAGCATAGGAAGAAAAAAAATTAGAGTCAAGGAGGATATTGTGTAATATAAGATTTCATGGACTAAATGTTAGTCTACCCTTACTGTAACGCTCTAGTCCTAAATAAAGCAAGTCTAGATTTTCCCATGTTCAGGATCTCTTATCTCAATGGGTTTCCTTTTCGATTTAAATGTAACTTTTGTTTCTATCCAAATTATATATTTTAATGAATTAAGCGTTAGTCTGGGGCATAAAAAATAAAGGTTTTGTAGACACGCTGACGCATTATCACCAACTGAATATTGTCGGTGTGTTGAAGTGGACAAAAACCAACAGGAAATGACAGTTGGACAATCATACTCTTAAGTTTTAATTATAGCATTCATTGATTAACAATAATATTTCTTTACTGTACTAGGGAGCGGCGCGGCTTAAACTGTCATCACATCAAAGGGAGTTAAGTCAGACTCTTCATTCAGGGATAGTTTTAGTCAACTGCGAAGTTGAAAGGCCGGTTTAGTCCGAAGTAGACTTGTTGGGAATAACATTTTGTTTCATTTGTTTGTTTGTTGTATTTAACGCCGCACTTAGCAATATTCCAGCTATAGGACGGCGGTCTATAAATAATCGGGTCTGGATCAGACAATCCAGTGATTGACATCATGAGCATCGCCCCACGCAACTGGGATACAATGACATGCATCAACCCAGTTAGCGAGCCTGACCACTCGATCCCGTTAGTCGCCTCTTACGGGAAGCATGGTTTCCTGAACACTTATTCTAACCCGGGTCTTCACGGGTCTAACAATTCAATCGATCTGCCCATGACAAACAAGGAATAACGCGGCTCACTAATGTATGTATGTGTGTTCCTTTTGGTAAGATGGCGCCACAGCTCCGAGACAGATGAACTACTACGAGCTAAGCGACACTCGTTCTGCCACAAGCAAGAACCAAATAAGTGCTGGACCTTCCCCCTTCTTGAGTGTGGCGGTGGACTCTAAAGTGAAAGCCTGCAGAGCTTTCTGCAGAAACAGCGGCACATTAAACATCCAGTTCTGGCGTCTAGCGTGAGTATATAGCATTGTGTGGTGAATCTATTTTTAGCCGATAGCCATGTTGGGATGTCCCTTTCGTTCAACGTCATTATCTAAGGACAGGGCAATGCACTTAGTGCACATATTTTCGTCTATAAGTGAGTGAGTTACGGTAATCTTGCGCAAGGAACGTGCTGGGGGTGACAAATAGCCCGAGCATAACCCCCTTTAAATATGTTGCAGTGATACCGGAGTTCCCAAAGATTTTACCCTTAGGGTAACGGAACAGGTGCAGTGTGTGGAGGGTCGAGCGGTCACGTGGGCATTCAGCACCCCCTTGAGCGTTAAAGCCGGAGATTTCGTTGGCGTACACGACAAAGTTGGCAACCTCGTGTCCATGCACCCTTGCAGGGGAACGAAGACGTTGGACGCCAACAACGTTATGAGGAGTCTGTCAACAACGGACGACCCCGCTGTCGGCGACACAGTGAGGGTCAGCGATTACCCAGCATGCATCACGCTCCGTCTTGACTGCTTCTACGTTCCTGATGCCTACACAGGGTAAGTAAGCGAGTGAGTGGGTGAGCTAGACCTAACGCTGATTTTGACGTGGGTGAAAGAGTTTGGTTTAACGCCGCTTTCAGCAGTAGTTCAGTTCTGTCATCGGCTTGATGTGGGAGGAAAGCTCGAAATGACGCGGGTCTTTGACGCTTACCACTTTGGTGAAACCTACGAGCACGGGTATCGTGCTGACAGACCTATAAACATAATCGGCGTGATGCAGGATTCGAACCCACAATCATAGGTTTCTGGCGTGCCCAAGGGGGCCACTATGGTCTGATATTCATACACACGACCAGCAATCTTTTACATGACTATGTATGTATGTATGTATGTGTGTGTGTGTGTGTGTGTGTGTGTGTGTGTGTGTGTGTGTGTGTGTGTGTGTGTGTGTGTGTGTGTGTGTGTGCATGCATGCATGCATGCCGGACTCGTGTTTCAACCAAGTGAGCGAGTCTGGCCACCCGATCCCGTTAGTCGCCTCTTACGACGACAAGCATCGTCGTTCTGTGTGTGTGTGTGGGGGGGGGGGGGGGTCAACTCTGCACTGTGATATTCGGTGTCTCCGGTCCAACAGTGCTTCAGTTATACCGTTCTTGGTCATGCTGTTGAATGTTGCTCATAAGATCAATCACGGGATTGTTTGGTGCAGACTGTATCGATTGTATTAGTGAATTATGTTTGAGTTCGGGTCGATTGGTTTCTCCGATAAATAATTTGATTTTATTGAACTTTCTCTCTTTTCAGAGCTGACGTGCAAGTGGATTTCCATAACTAGAATGTTATACATTGGTATTTGTAACACGTGTGTATATTCAGTATATATCACGATCAACAATCGGAGATGACAGCTGCCATGTTCCCATGGCAACGTCGTAACATGATATCATACATGAACATTATGAAATAAAGGATCAGCAATCATTTAGCTTTTGTTACTTTTTATGGAGGAGAGCTTTCAGCAACATCACAGCAACACGACACTAAAGTAGTGTTTGGCCCTGGTTTACACACCAGTCCCAACATTCCAGCGATATCACTTGGCTGTAAATAATCGAGTGAGTGAGTTGGTTTAACGCTGCTATATCTCGGCGTGTCAGCTCAATGTGAGAGGAAAGCTCGAAGTGATACAGGTCTCAGACGTTTACTACTTTGGGAAACCCTAGACCGCGGGTATGGTGCTGACAAACCTATCGGGTCTGGATTCGAATCCACGATCATCGGTTCCTGGCGTGCCCAAGGGACGCAACTCTGTCTTCGTAAGTAATCGAGCTCAGGACTTGCATCGTAGTGTACAGTGACACACATATGCCACAATGTTGCTAATTTTGAGTATCCTGTCTCTGTCATTGAGTGAGTGAGTGAGTGAGTGAGTGAGTTTGTGCTTTACGTCACATCGGCATGTGCTCCATTGAAATTTAGTCATTAATAACATCAGCAGGCGGTATGACACACCTCGCAACATCAGGTGGTATAAGTTTATGTGGAAAATAAAACATGCGGTGAGGTGAGGTGAAATAGCGTTTAACGTCGCGTCCAAGATTATTGCACTTATATAGCGACTTATATAGCATGTACGTGTGTGTGTTTGTGTGGCTGCTTGTACTAGTCCGGACTGATGCCGATTTATAGTGTTAGCTCACTGAGATACCATGCCGCAGTTTAACATGAATACCCCACTCAGACACAGTATACTGACTCCGAGCCGACCGGTCCTTGTTTAAGCCCCTTAATGCCGAGCGCCAGACAGGGTAACAACAAGTACCATCTTTTGTCGTCTTTTGGTATGACGCGGTCGGGGATCGAACCACTAGGCCACGGAGGCGGTCAATAATACATGCACACACGCAAACACAAACATGCACACATCGTTAAAGCTTTGTGATAATAGGTATAACTTCGACCACCGACCAGTGGATTTGACAAAGATCGTTTACAAGCTGATAACAAAGAACAGACGAAAAGAAGGAACAATGGTAATTTGCTCCTTTCACTCCAAGCTGTTGCAAAAGGTCTCGCAGACGAGGACCTTGCCAACCACATCAAAAGTGAGGTGAGGTGAAATGGGGTTTAACGTCGCACTCAAATTTAGTGCTTTTATGTAGCGACATGCATGTATGTATGGCTGCTTGTACTAGTCCCGACTAATGCTGATTTAATGGTGCTAGCCAACTGAGATACCATGCCGCAGTTTAACAAAAAAACACCACTCAGACACAGTATAATAGTGAGTGAATATGGTTTTACGCCGCTTTTAGCAATATTCCAGCAATATCACGGCGGGGGACACCAGAAATGGGCTTCACACATTGTACCCATGTCGGGAATCGAACCCGGGTCTTCGGCGTGACGAGCGAACGCTTTAACCACTGGGCTACCCGACCGCCCCACACACAGTATAATGACTCTTCTGACTCCGAGCCGACCAGTCCTTGTTTTAGACCCTCAATGTCGAACGCCAGACAGGATAACAACAAGCACCATTTTGTAACGTCTTTTTGAATGACGCGGCCGACGAGCGAACGACCGACCTTCCGCTCTCCGAGCAAACCCTCTACCTCTGGACCACGGAGGCGGTCCCATCCACCTCAAAGCACTGAGTAGTTAACATGTGTGCATTGACACATCTGAGTGAATCTGGCTTAACGCGCACTGAACGTTAACGGTATCCATATTTTAGTCAATGTTTAGTTTCGAAAGATACAATTATTCATTTTGTGAAATAAAAAACATCTGTCACGCACTTTCTCGGAAATTAATATTCAGATCGATGATATTTGTGCTTGATATAAAGGGGGCGGTCGGGTAGCCTGGTCGTTAAAGCGTTCGCTCGTCACGCCGAAGACACGGATTCGATTCCCGACATGGGTACAATGTGTGAAGCCCATTTCTGGTGACCCCCGCCATGATCTTGCTGGAATATAAAAGCGGCGTACAACCATACTCACTCACTCACTCGCTTGATATAAAGCACTGCAAAGTCTGGAAACTCTGTTTCTTTGTTGCTAAACGCCACACTCAACAATATCCCAGCTATACGACAGCGGTCTGTAAATAATCTGGACCAGACAATCCAGTGATTGACACCACGAGGATCGATCCACGCAATTAGGATAATTGACCGAAACACTTCAAACTAAACGTCCAAAACTATGATAGCCGTATCAAATACATCACCATCGAATGACCATATCTTGTTTGTTTCATTTTAGCTATCATCAAACATGGGTGTATAATTTTTTTAATCCGTCAGTATAAGGGAAACACACCGTTATGAGATGGCCATCACGGAGAATGTATAATTATTAATGTATCTTAACTGTTAAATGTATAAGTTAGGCCAGACCAATTTAATTGCTAGGATTACGGATTTTTTCGGGTAAAGTGGCTGAATGGAGGAGGGAATGTAAAAAAAAAAAAAGTACTTGAGAGAAAAAAAATTCGCAGGTATTACGGATTTTAGGAGGCAGGAATGCTGATAGGAGGAAATAAATTATTTTTTTTAAAAATCCCTCACTTGTGCCACAGAAGCTACAAAAGTATTTCAGTATTACCCACCACGCATGTTGCAAGCAATGCAAGCAATGAAATACTCTGTCCAGTATAACTTTATCGTGTTAAATGATCAGGTAACACTCATGCACTTAAATTAAATAGCCCTGTTTATTATAGATTTTGCCACCACTGTCACATAATTTAGTCCAAAGTCTGCTAAAACTTGCATAGGTGTTGTAAGTTCGACAATATTCCCGTAGGAACCAGCCTTAGATTCTGTTGCATGCACCTCTTGAATAGAAAGTCCATCTCCATCGCCAAATCACCAACTGTGTCATCCAGTTGACTTTCCCTGATTCGCTTTGATAAGCACAAACTACCCTTCAGAACGCTTACGCTGAAAAACTTTGCTGACATTGTCGAAAGACACCAGATAATAAAAGGCATTAACACCGAGTTCCCAGAGAAGCTTGTGTGATAGATGAAGCCAACATTTATCAAAGAAAATATCTGCTTATAAAATATATTTTCTACAACATGTTATACACCATTTGAAAGGTCTGATCCTATGGTTTATAAATATGAAAGTTGTGTTTTTCACATTATTTAAAATAATGCATTTACAACTTAATTAAGTTCGTTGTAAATAAAAAATGTAAGCTAACACGTTGTTAACATCCAGATTAAGGACCAAGGAAGCGAAAACATTTAATAAAATCCACTTGCCTATTTCTGTTTTATTTTCATTGTTTACGTAATTGGAAAATCATTTTAAAAAGAATTTATAAATAGTTTCTGTCATCACCCATCTCCCGATGACAGCGGCTGTCCGCTCAGTAACATGAAGAAATACCGCCGTTTTCGAGGCTTCGTATGAATAACACATTCGTCGAAGAATGGCATAAGACACATCGCTAGAAAGCTTATTCCTTCATCTACACGCTCGTAACATCGTCTGTTTTTTCCCCGTAGTTATAACAGGCGATTTCATTGGATTAAAATTGGTTTCTAATGACGCTTTCTTGCCGAAATCTGCTACAAGTTTCGTGATTGGTCAATTTTGAGCACATGACCTAATGCAGCCAATCAAATTACAGCTGTGGTACCAAGCTCGTGTTTGATACATTTCAGAAGTTGGCGAAAGATTTTTGTTAAATCGTGTTATTCTGAACGTTTTAAGCCGGAAATCACGATATATATTAAAAATATAAAACTTCGTGAATGTATCGTGCTAGGTTACGAGCTGTGACAAAGATTTTTCACACATATATTTTTGCATTAAACATCGTGTCCGAGCCGAGAATTCAAGGCGACGAAAGCCGAGATGTCATTCGACATACATAATTAGCCTACAAGCGATCGCACGAAAAGATGGAAATAATAACTTAGATGTAAGTTTGATTACTTTTAGATATATTTTTGTTGATTTTATTTATTACTTTGTATAATATATTTAAAGATTTGTTTAGAACCTCTTTATTTTGCTCTTTGACATGTTCGATGTGGACCCGTTGTCGAAATTTGTGTCCGAGAATTTTATTTTCAATAACACCGCGGGAGATAGTGAATAATTTTTTAATGTATCGATTAAAAATGATAAAGTGAAATGGAATACGTTCAGACATTGTGAAATGTTATAAGATTTAATAAATGAATGACATCACAGGTAGGTCCATAAATATATATATTATTTTGACGTGACTACGTCTGGGGACTCGATGCTTCTTGGCCGGATAACCGGCCTACGGTGTTGAAAGAGTTAAAACACCCCAACTGACACCCCATGTCCTAAACATGGTCCCGGCATATTCTATACACGGTGTGCGCATGCGGGAAACACTTGTAATTGAGAGTACGCATTCGATTGGCTATGTTCGCGTGGAACGACCAATGGAATTTGCCGTCACATTTGCGTAAGGAATTTTAGTTAAAAACTAGAGTTACTTCCCCTAACATGTATTCTCTCACAACAAGGCTTATCGATCGATGTCGGATGTCGGGTAGAATATTTTAAAAAAAAATGATAGAATTTCATTTTATTTTTTTTCCGATTTGGCGAAAAATGGTGTCGGCGGATCCGTAATCCTAGCAATTAAATTGGTCTCGCCTTATGACAGTTTGTAAAAAAATATAAAACAAAAAATATTTCCTAAATAATCCGTTTGAATTTTAATGGTTAATGGTTATATACTGTAATTAGTTTTGTAGTAATATTCCAGTATATAATTGCCAACCTTGTTTTCACGTAATTCAATTATATCAATTCGTTTTCGTAAGAAATCAGAGCATCATAGTATTCTGTTATAGAGCTAAATAGCATACTGTTATCTCCTGAAATATTCATATTTTAATACCATCATGCTACGCATTGATTAGGATATGTCACTACCTCATAGGCATTGAAAACTGTCTATTGTCATGTCACATAAGGCCACAAGGTTGCGCAGTATCTTGTGTGGCCGACCCGGGCAGCAATCACGGCTCTGCATCTGCTCGGCACTGACTGCATAACTGTACGAATTCTGTCCTGCGGAATTCTGCGCCATTCTGCTTGTAACGCGTTGGCCAGTTGTGGGAGTGTCTGCGGCGTGTTGTTACGTTGACGTAACGTTGATCGAGTTCATCCCAGAGGTGTTCGATTGGGATTAGATCTGGACGGCCAGGGCAAGGCGTTGATGTTGGCATTATAAAGGTAGTCTACAGTGACACGAGCTGTGTGCGGTGGAGCGTTGTCCTGTTGAAAGTGCTCCCTCTGGCGGTCAATGATTGGAAGAAGATGTGGTTGAAGAATTTGATTCATGTAGCGATTTGCTGTCAAGTTTCCCTGAACCACAACCAAGTCAGATCTCGTGGTGTAGGATATGGCCTCCCACACCATGACACTACCGCCACCGAAATTGTCGAATTCAAGAATACAATGTGGGGCAAAACGCTTATTTCGACGAAGATAAACACGTTGTCTTCCATCTCGCCGGCGAAGAAGAAATCGTGATTCATCGCTAAACCACACTCGTCTCCAGTTTCTCAAATTCCAAGGCTGAATGGTATGGCACCAACGCATGCGTCGCTGTCGATAAATCTGTTGCAAAACAGGGACGATAACTGGTCTTCTGGGTCGGATTCCAGCCTCGCGAAGATGGTTCCTTGTAGTCTGGTCCGATATCCTCCTCAAACCAGGGATGTGCGTTTCTTTTTTTTTTAAAGAGTGTATAATAGTGTATCAGTCAAAGCGGAGTTAGATGTGCGTCAGCTGCATATTTGGCCAATATAATACCGTTAAGTGACGGCAGATCAATAGCGCCAGCTGACGCCACCGCCGCCATGTTTTGATCTGCGGCAGGCGGGCAAAACTGCCGGCTTGAACAATGACGGTCAATAGGATATTCATACTGCATGTCTATACTGTGCCACACGAGTTTGGGATGCTTGGACGTGTCGAAGTAATGTCAGATGAGAGTGTTTACAATGTTCCGGGTTGTTTAGTCGGATACAACTCACAAGACAACGAGCCATAGCCTGGATATCGGATACGATCATATTCACAGCTTGTTCTTAAGGTTTGGACGCAGAGCAGCGACACTTCCTGTTGTACGATTTAAAAAGTTTGTGTATATTCAATATGTTTCTATCAGGACGTGGATCTTACAGTTCCAGTTGTAACGTGGCATACGTTGAAGTGAAAAGACGTCAGTCGCTGCAGACTTTGATATGGTCTTGATTTAAAATGAACAGATATTTTCGATTGCTTCTAAATGACTTGTATCGATTCGCAAACCATCATAGATAATGCGAAGAACGATTTCTTAAAATGAGAGTGTACAAGATATTCAACAACTTTGTTCTAAGACTGGCCTTCACGTCGAGGCTAACTCTTGTAGTCTATGGCTTCGTCCTAGGTTTTGTTACTATGGTGATTGTGCTGCCCCATCTGGCGTCGAACAGAAATACCGGCTTAATGAAAGGGAAGCAACTGCAGGAAGACACACTGGAGCGACTGCTGAGTGAAGAGAAGAGGAGTGATGGTGGTTTGTAGATACCTTTATAATACTTTTGCCGTGGTTGGGGAAGGTGTGTGTGTGTGGGGTTGGGGGGTTGGGGGGTGGGGTGGTGGGGGGGGGGGGGGGGGGGGGGGGGGGAGGGGGGTGGGGGGAGGTGGCCCAGTCGTCTAAGGCGCCTCCATTCGTCACCATCGCCCCTTTCCGTAACCTGCAAGAAGACTCGTCCCCCTATCGATGAATGTTATGTGCGAAAATACGACAAAACAATCAGAATATCAGGGGATATATATGTGAACCATTACGCAACGAGTTGACAATTGTTTTAGGTATTCTCTTTTGCGCTAAGACGGAACCCGGTTGCAAAAATGGCCATGAGAGGGGCACGAGTCGCTATTCGCTTGTTCCAATACCTGCCTCATAATTGAAACAGACGAGGTACGCGCTCGGGGGCACGGGTGGCCCAGTCGTCTAAGGCGCCGCGATTCGCAGATTTGCGTCCCTTGGGCACGCCAGAAACCTATGATTATGGGTTTGAATCCTGGTTCGCCCCGATTATGTTTCTAGGTTTGTCAGCACCATTCCCGTGCTCGTGGGTTTCATCGAAGTGGTAAACGTCTGAGACCTGCATCACTTCGGGCTTTCCTCCCACATTAAGCTGACACGCCATGATATGACTGGAATTATGTTACAAGCGGCGTTAAACCCAACTCACTCAATCACTCACTCTTTTCCGGCTCACTACGGTTAACTGTCCCATTTGTTATATAGTGACAAATGATTAACAATCAGCAGTATGAAGGCATTTCGATTATCGGGTACCTCAAAGAAAGCTCTATTTCAAATATGATCAATAATCAGAATTTCCTTCAATACGACAATTGATCAGCAGGCCAGGTGTCCTTGACAGGCTGACAATGTCAACCGCCCTGGCGAGTGAAACAGCTGACTGTTAACGAAAACTACTCTGTTTCGCGAAAGCCAGCCGCCTCCATCGAGGCCCACGTGTACTTTTGAGGTGGTGGTGGGGGCGGGGGTATTTTTTCAGTTTCGGTACTCAGGATTCGGGGGTCAATTACTGGGGTATTCGGTACTCAGCAGTGTTGTACGTGAGACGCCAATATTATCGTATTTGGTCACAGTTTCAAAATAAAAATATACATAACGGTGTGTGTACGGGGGCACGGTAGGCCCAGTCGTCTAAGCTAAGGCGCCGCGATTCGCTGTGCAGAGTTGCGTCCTTTGGGCGCGCCGGAAACCTATGATCGTGGGTTCGTCGTATATTAACGGTTTATACTACGAACCCACAATCATAGGTTTCTGGCGTGCCAAAAGGACGCAATTCTGCACAGCGAATCGCGGTGCCTCAGACGACTTGGCCACCCGTGCCCCCGTCAAACTATAGTCTCATATGCACATTCATGTTGTGTTTGTTAAATTGACTACAAACATCCTACACCTGTCAAACACATTGCTCCGACGGGTTTTTATGTGGTCACTTTATACTCATAACATTTACTGTATTTGCTATGTGGGCTGTCATGAGGCACTGTATGAGTCAATATCACGTCAATAATTGATTTGTTGGTTTAAGTTGACGGTATTGCGGTAACATATTGTGTCAAACTGCAGTTACTGTACCATCTTTCAATAATGTAGTTGCCATATTGTGCGTGCACGGTGTGTAGCGGTGGGATGAGGTGCGTGCGTGCATGCGTGCATGCGTGCGTGCGTGCGTTGTGTGTTGTGGGGAGGTGCAGCAAGGAGACCTCATTACGTTTGATTGTTTGTTTGTTTGTTTGTTTGTTTGTTTGTTTTTAACGCCGCACTCAGCAATATTCCAGTTACATGACGGCGGTCTGTAAATAATCGAGTCTGGTCAAGACAGTCCAGTGAATACACTGTCATATAACAATACCATGTACAGATCGTGTTTAAGAACTTGCAGCAAGATACAATCATGTCCAATTGGCACAGACTGAACAGTCCGTTTAAACAGGGCGCTCCTAGATCCTATATTCCTTCCGGGTCATGGTAAAACCTGGGACGGTCAACTGCCGCAATTAATTAAGTTCCAATACCTGCCTCATAATTGAAACAGACGAGGTACGCGCTCGGGGGCACGGGTGGCCCAGTCGTCTAAGGCGCCTCGATTCGCAGATGTGCGTCCCTTTGGCACGCCAGAAACCTATGATTGATGGTTCGAATCCCGGTTCGCCCCGATTATGTTTCTAGATTTGTCAGCACCATACCCATGCTCGTTGGTTTCACCGAAGTGGTAAACGTCTGAGACCTGCATCACTTCGGGCTTTCCTCCCACATTGAGCTGACACGCCGTGGTATAACTGGAATACTGGCGTTAAACCTAACTCACTCACTCACTCACTCACTCAACACTGTCGGCATCACCGATGCTTATTTTTGCGGGAGCCATGTTTGTCAACACGTCGGAAAAAAGACAATAGCATTAAAAAGACATCTTATCCTCCGATACGAGATCTCTATACTTGGAAATCTAACGACACCTCGACAAGAAGTCGCGCCAGATGGACTTTCTAATCAGCCAATCGCCGTCGGGAATCGTCAGACAAGTATTCAGACTAACGTATCTCATATCTGCATCTCGGAAACGAACTACAATCGGCCAGTTCCGAATGCACAATCGATAATTATCGCCCGCGCGTTGTAGATAGCTGTTATCCCCTGTCGTTTCTGAGCGCCATGACATATACACTCAAACGGGAGTTCAATCGGAGGGATATTTGAGTTCTGTGCGGATTTCAATTATTACAAATTTAATTTTCCGAATCGAAATGGTATAAAATGAAGCTGAATTGTTTTAGTAAGCTGACATCTGATTGTCTCAAGAACCCGCCCACCCTTCATTTAGATTTCACTGGACACGACCCTGTATGGAGCTCTTCACGTATCTGAGTGATGGAGTGAGTTGGGTTTAATGCCGCTTTTAACAGTATTCCAGTTATATCGCAGGGGGCCAGCCTAATGTGGGAGGAAAGCAAGAAGTGATTCAGGTCTCAGACGTTTACCACTTCGGTGAAACCCACGAGTACGGGTATGGTGCTGACAAACCTAGAAACATAATCGGGGCGAACCGGGATTCGAACCCACAATCATAGGTTTCTGGCTTGCCCAAGAGACGCAACTCTAGATCTGCACAGCGAATCGCGGCGCCTTAGACGACTGGTCCATCCGTGCCCCCTCACGTATCTGAGTGAAAAAGCAGATTTTAATGCATTTGGAAAACCCTGATATAAATTCTTTTGGAAGATTGGGCAACCATTTATTGAGCAAGTTGGAATCGCATCGATGTGCGGAGCTTATTTTAAGCGGATCCATGTGACCTCATGTGGATATTTATTGAATCGTGATACTAGGTTTACAGCATAATTATATTCATCGCATCGATAACACTGTCCTTGATATCATAAACAACAATGGCATTACAGTAGTATCGATCTAGTTGGTGCTTGCAAAATGTCTTCGACTCACTCTTATCACGTTTGTGTGACAGTTATATTGTTACAAAAATACGTTGTTAATTTAATAAGTCATAGTTTTTCCTTGACCCTGATATGTGACCTTGACATCACAGGTGACGACAGACTGGCCCGGGCAGTGCTGAACAGAACCCGGATCTTGTGTTGGGTCATGATCCGAGATGGCGGCAATGTCAAGGCCAGAGCTCTGCGGGCAACGTGGGGAAAACGTTGTGATAAGCTACTGTTCTTTGGCATTGATGACGAATTCGCCGCCATAGATTTAAGAACACAGGAAGGGAAGAGATTTCTAGCTGCCAAAACCTTCACCTGCCTTAAATACATCCACAAATATCATTTAAATGACGCTGATTGGTTTCTAAAAGCGGATGATGACACTTACATTGTTATGGAAAATTTAAAATATTTTTTAAGTGAAGAGAATCCCGAGTTACCTATTTATTTCGGCGAGTTTTTTAACCCTTATGACACTAAATACCTCCGCTACAACAGCGGAGGGGCCGGCTACGTCCTCAGCAGAGAGGCTCTTCGGCGTTACGGGGAACTTGCGCTTCTGAGAAGCGTTTGCGCGGACCCTGGAGGCCCAGAGGATAAGGAGATTGGCTACTGTTTGCGTCAACTCGGTGTTGAGATCGGAGACACAACGGACCGTTTTGGGAAAAGCAGGTTCCATTACGACCGCGCGGACTTGCATGCTGTTGGTGATGTGAAACAGTGGTACCGTGATTTCATGGGAGCTCGATACAGGAGGGTACGTTCTTCATACAATATATTGTGATGCGTCATAATTTGATGCGTCATTCATAATGTGATGCGTCATTCATAATGTGATGTGATGCGTCATTCATAATGTGATGTCATTCATAATGCGATGCGTCATTCATAATGTGATGTGATGCGTCATTCATAATGTGATGTGATGCGTCATTCTTAATGTGATGTGATGCGTCATCAATAACTTGATGCGTCATTCATAATGTTGTGCGTCATCCATAATGTGGTGCGTCATCCATAATGTGATGTCTCATTCATAATGGGATGCGTCATTCATAATGTGATGCGTCATTCATAATGTGATGCGTCATCCAGAATATGATGCGTCATCCAGAATGTGATGTGATGCGTCATTCATAATCTGATGCGTCATTCATAATGTGATGCGTCATTCATAATGTGATGCGTCATCCAGAATGTGATGCGTCATCCAGAATGTGATGTGATGCGTCATTCATAATGTGATGCGTCATTCACAATGTGATGTGATGCGTCATTCATAATGTGATGTGTCATTCATAATGTGATGTGTCATTCATAATGTGATGCGTCATTCATAATGTGATGTGATGCGTCATTCATAATGTGATGCGTCATTCACAATGTGTTAAAGCGTGGTACATGAGATGCGTCTTTCGTAATGTGATGATGCGTGCTACATAGAAAGATGCGCAATATATCAGAGACCTTAAATTTCCAGGTAAAATCAAAAGAATATGAAAAAAACATGTTTTACGATTTACATGAGACAATAAATGGTCCCACCGTTTCGGTTTTTTTCAGGGTACCGACACCATGAGCGACTACCCCGTCTCCTTCCACTATCTACAGCACTACGACATCCACATCATGGAGTTTGTCTTGTACAGGCTCCGTCCTCACGGCGTCGTGAAGTCTTTCAAAGAAGTAAACGTGGTATAATTCTCTCGGCTCATCTCAGTCCGATATGTCATGAATGTGACGGGAAAAGCCGAGTGGAGCCGAATGCATATGATCAACAAATCTTCAATCTAATTGAATCAAAACTGTTGCTCCGATAAGATACGTCTCAGCGTTTGATGTCAGATTCTGTGGCCACTGCCCGAGATCGGATTTTGATGAGACATGTCTTCACCTGTTGGGGCACGAGTTGCGTCCCTTGCCTTTGCAAAGGTCAAGCTCCTCCCTAGCGCGTGACACCTTCATTACACCCTCGTTAACATCGCTGCCACCAGAGTGGGCGCGGCCATTACAAGATTCTTGAAATTTGCCCTCTAACGTTCATACATTTGTTTATGTCTTTGGGAATGCCATCAGAGTTCATTTTGAAAAGGTTTACGACTGACCATGTTTTCCAGATGAATATATACTACTCAAAAGAAGTTAAGGAACACCCGATTATTTCATATTACTATAGTTCATCTATCATGGCATGACAAATTAACTATAGTAATATGAATGAAACAGGTTTTCCTTAACTTCTTTTGGGTAGTATACTTTGTTGTTTGTATAATCAGATTTGTTCGAGACTGCGGACTAACGGAAAATCAACCAACTTCTCCCTTACATTCTTACTATATCAACCACATGATATTGATAAACAAACAAAGTTATTTAGCAGGGTTTAGTGTATTCGGCGTCACGACAGTCGTCACTTGTTTGTAAATATAACGGTCAGTCGGTTGCGAGTTCAACTCCAAGCATGGTTATGGTCATCTATCACTGTGGGGAGTTTCGACTGGTGGCAGCGATAGTACAGAGAGCTTCACGAACGGGTTATGGCTGTGAGGAGCTTGTGCAAAGGTATCTTCTTCCTCTGCTCAATCAGTGTCTCAGTAATATGAAAGTGTTTCCTGTTGGCGGAAAACTCAAAGTGACCGAAATTGTAGAAATTTACCATTTTAATGAAATCTGGGAGTCGAGTAGACATTTTGGAAGCGGATGCCATCAGCAAGGGGACGCAACTCTGTTGTGACATTTGTGGCGTCTTGATGGGTGAAGCGAGGTGAAATTGGGTGAAATTATTGCACTTATATAGCGGTGTGTTTGTTTGTGTGTGTGTGTGTGTGTGTGTGTGTGTGTGTGTGTGTGTGTGTGTGTGTGTGTGTGTTGCTGATTGTACTAGTCTGGACTGATGCCGATTTATAGTGCTAGCACACTGAGATACCAAGCTGCAGTTTAACATGAATACCCCACTCAGACACAGTATACTAACTCCGAGCCGACCAGTCCTTGTTTTAGCCCCTTAATGCCGAGCGCCAGGCAGGGTAACAACAAGTACCATTTTTTAACGTCTTTTGGCATGACGCGACCGGGTTCAAGGATGAATTTTGCGTCAGTGATTGTCAATTTGCGAAATTTCTTCAGTTTCTCCGTTTCAATACCTAGACGCCCAGTGACATGCACAAACATCCTCATTTTATGTAAAATAAAATCAGTATCCTACTGTCCTTGTGTCCAACTGTATTTACTCGCCCTTGTGCTTTGCACTTAATCAGGACAGCATATTATCGTAAACATCATCTGTTGTTGTTTCAGTTGAATGTTGTTATTATTATTCTATGGATAAGCAGTGCGCTCCTATCGTCCGTTGCAGGTTTTCAACCCGAATAAAAAGAATGACAAAGTGGGCGACCCCATACATAACAGCAACATTACGACATACATGCTATGTATTTGCGACGTCCCACAAAGCGACGCGCTTCATGCAAGCTCCTTCATAGCAAAGTCGGTTTTGGGCGCGTCGAAACTTATTTACGCACATATATCGTGTAATATGTCCTTTTCCCTTCGGTAGCTTTATTTCAAATTCATATTTATTAATCATCAATGCTTGCAAGAAATATCCATAAAGGACACGATAACATCCTTCATTTTTCAATGATAATAATAATAATAATATGAATTTAAAACAACGCTGCGATAGTTTTTGGTCACCTTCAAGAATAGCTCTTGTTGTTAAGAATTATCTCAGCTGAGACAGATTTGTGAATAGACCACCAGATGTTCATGGATGTACACAGATGTACAGGTGTTTATCATACAACAGATTTTACAAGATAAATAAACAGTTATTACTTCATGTTTCATATCCATATATATTTATGATTTCGAGATTTGCAATTAACATCACGCCTGGTTAAAGAACTCTTCAGACAGAAAGATGCCTCATATAGGCTTTAACCTGTCTGAACACTGAACAGGTCGACCTGTAGTCAAAGTGTCTAGATCAATACTACCAGTGCCGGTGTATGACAGTAATGTTTTTATTTGGTAACATTCCCGTGATGAGGTGACCCGTGAAGATCCGGGGTAGAATTGGTCTTCAGCAACCCAGGCTTGCCGTAAAAGGCGACTATGCTTGTCATAAGAGGCGACTCACGGGATCGGGTGGTCAGGCTCGCTGACTTGGTTGCCGCATGTCTTCGTGTCCCAACTGCTCATGATGTCAATCACTGGATTGTCTGGTCCAGACTCGATTATTTACAGACCGCCGTCATGTAGCTGGAATATTGCTGAGTGCGGCGTTAAAAACAAACAAACAAACAAACAACCGTAATGAGGTCTCCTTGCTGCACCTCCTCACAACACAAAACGCACAACACGCATGCAGGCACGCACCTCATCCCACCGCTACACACCGTGCACGCACAATATGACAATTACATTATTGAAAGATGGTACTCCAGTTTGACACGATATGTTACCGCAATATGTTACCGCAGCTTAAATCAACAAACCAGTTGTTGACGTAATATGAACTCAATTTATACAGTGCCTTATGACAGCCCACATAGCAAATACAGTCAATGTTATGGGTATAGATTGAGCACATAAATCCTCGTCGGAGCCACGTGTTTGACAGGTATAGAATGATTGTAATCAATTTAACAAACCTTTCCTCCCACATTAAACTGACACGCCGCGATATAACTGGAATAGTGTTAAAAGCGGCGTTAAACCCAACTCACTCACTCAATTTAACAAACACACCATGAATGTGCATATGAGACTATAGTTTGACGGGGGCACGGGTGGCCCAGTCGTCTAAGGCGCCGCGATTCGCTGTGCAGAGTTGCGTCCCTTTGGGCAGCCAGAAACCTAGGATTGTGGGTTCGAATCCTGGTTCGCCCAGTTCATGTTTCTGGGTTTGTCAGCACCATACCCGTGCTCGTGGGTTTCACCGAAGTGGTAAACGTCTAAAACCTGCATCACTTCGGGCTTTCCTCCCACATTAAGCTGACACGCCTCGATATAACTGGAATACTGTTAAAAGGGGCGTTAAACCCAACTCACTCACTCACTTAGGTTTGACAATAATATCCTCTGCAAAAAAAGAAACGCAAAAGTAGTAAAACGTTAATACCTGACAGAGTGTTGCCGACATCCATACACAATTAATACCTAAAAAAACCACAATTGGTCATTTCTGCTTGGATTGGGATTGGTTTGTGTCGAAAGAATGAGGTACTGATACCTCTGACGCCAAACACAAAAACAAGACATGCACGTACAACATCACTTGTTGGGCTAAAAAATGTTGGGTTTTCATTTGCATGTCATCACAATCTTACAGCAAGTGAACAGCGAAATCATAATACGACTGACGGAAGCCCGACTCAAAAATGTAATGCCATCGGCTGACTGCAAACAGTAGAATCATATTTGGCTGTAGCCAGTTTTTTTCACGTAGCACCAAACACAATTACCAGAGTGAGTGAGTGGGTTGGGTTTAACGTCGCTTTTAACAGTATTCCAGTTATATCTCGCCGTGTCAGCTTAATGTGGGAGGAAAGCCCGAAGTGATGCAGGTCTCAGACGTTTGCGTTTGGTGTATGGTGCTGACAAACCCAGAAACATAATCTTGGCGAACCGGGATTCGAACCCACAATCCTAGGTTTCTGGCGTGCCCAAAGGGACGCAACTCTGCACAGCGAACCTTTTCAGATCCGGTCGACCACGTATCACAGTACTAGAGCACAGGGTGAGGTAAGGTGAAATGGGGTTTAACGTCGCGTCCAAGGTTATTGCACTTATATAGCGACGTGCATGTACGTGTGTGTGTTTGTGTGGCTCCTTGTACTAGTCCGGACTGATGCCGATTTATAGTGCTAGCTCACTGAGATACCATGCCGCAGTTTAACATGAATACCCCACTCAGACACAGTATACTGACTCCGAGCCGACCAGTGGTATGGCCAAGCTGAAACAACAGCTGAACTGTTGTCAGCTGCGGATAGCAATCCTTTTAACGTCTTTTGGTATGACGCGGTCGGGGATCGAACCCCGGACCTTCCGCTCTCCGGGCGGACGCTCTACCATTAAACCACGGAGGCGGTCACTAGAGCACAGGGTAGATTCATACGTGAGTAAGAGGCGACTAACGGGATCGATTATTTACAGAATTGAATATTGCTGAGTGCGGCGTTAACAACAACAACAACCATCATACGCAACGTCACTTAGGTGACAGAACCACCATGGTCACCTCTACAACTGCGTCAGTACGAGGATTGCGTAGGATATAGGCCCAGATTGTGAGGCGCCGTTTTAGGCGCTGAAGGTATTCGCGTTAGACGACCAGTTCGAGGTGTCATTTTGACGGACCTGCATCGTCCACGTCAATGTTGTCAAGGTCACGGAGTATTGCGTGATGAGTCACGTTTTGTGCTTCGCCATGCGGATAGTAGACGTCGTGTTTAAAGGCGACAGGGAGAACGGCATACAGGAAGTGGACATATTTGGTGGTGACAGTGTGGTGATGTGGACGGCCATCTCCTACACTGGTAGAACAGATTTGGTGCAAGTTCAGGGGAAACGTCTCAACGTTACACGGATAAGATTCTTCGGCCTCACGTCCTACCCATTATGCAACAAGACAACGCCCGACACCACGCATCTTCCCGAGGCAAGGGAGTTAACTGACTCTAAAAGTCCAGTTTCCACCCTTGTCGAACAAGGCTGGAATTTCTGGTCTTGATCGTAGCGCCACCAGTGGCTATTTCGAGTTATGTCCCTTCTATATCTCTGGATCAACGACTGCGAGCATGTCAGCAACAACCACAGAACCTCCGACAGCTGGCACAAGCACTGCAGAACATTCCCAAGGCCACAATGCGGGATCTGATTGCTTCCATGGGACGACGATGCTGATCAATTTTGGACCCTAATAGTGGCCACACAAGATATTGAAAACAGATTACCTTTGACTTAAAAATCTACTGTTCAATGTCCGGAACCTGGGTCAATGACAATGATGGGTGCCAATTCTGAACAATGAATGTCCATCTGTTGATTACTTATATGAATT